TTTTTTTTTTTTTTTTTTTTTAATGCGGTTTAAGCTGGCTTTGAACTCATTTTGTAGCCCAGGCTGTCCTTGAACTCAAAACAATCCTGCCTCAGCCTCACAAGTGCATGGATGACAGGCATGCACCACAATGCCCAGCTCTGGTTGATAATCTTTATCAAGTTAAGAAACTTTTTTCTGTTTGTAGTTTGGGAACAGTTTTTCTTTTTTAAATAATAATTGGAATTAAAGCTTTAGCAAATGGTCTTTGTATATCCATTGAGATAAATGTGTGTGTTCTCCTTAACCCATTAATGTAGTAGATTCCATTAATAGAATCTTAACATTAAATTACAAAAATAATGTGTGAACACATTCATCTTATAGAATGAGAGAATCAGAGAGGTGGGAGTTTGGAGATCTGTTACTCAATGGACACAAGATTTCAGCTAGAAGGAAAGTTCAAAAATCTATGTATATCTTTGAGACTAAAGATAAGAGTATATTGTATATTTGAAAACTTCTAAGAATGCATTTTAAGTTCTCCCACCACAAAAATGATATATGAAATAATGTATATGTTAGATATATTTTAGCAAGCCTTCATCTAACAAAATATATACTGTACATGTTGCATACCAGAAATGTTAAAATTTTACTTATATCAAAATATGTATGTCATAAACATGTCAAAATTCTAAATACAAAAAACAAGGATTAGCCAGGCATGGTGGCATACATCTGTAATCCCAGCATTTGGAAGGCAGAAACAGGAGGATCTTTGAAAGTTTGAGACCAGCCTAGCGTATGTACGAAGTGAGCTGAAGGCCAGTCTGAATTGCATAGCAAGACTCTGTCTCAAAAACACAAAAAACAAAACAGGGATCTACAAATAATGCTAGTCATCTGTGACAAATGCCACTAGTTCTAGTACTTACCCCTTAGTACATCATGATTATAAGTTTTAGTATATCTATTTCATAGTATATATATATATATATATATATATGCATATTATTAAATAATATCAAATGAAAATCTCTTTTATACTCACAATGTGTTTTGGTAATCTATATGCGTACATCAAGATATTTTTCAAATGCTCCTACATATGTATCACATTTCATTTACCAATAAAAGTACATTTACATTATTTCCATTTTTCAAATCCTCAAACAACACTGAAATGAGTAACCTCATAGATCTCTTCTATGTGTGTTACTGTATTTTAGGATGGTATCTTGTATTCTTAAGATTCTAAGAAGTTTAAAGTTTTTCTAAAGCTCATGAATGGTTATTAAATGTGTATAGTTTAATTTTCTAGGTTTTCTAGATAGTTTAGAAATACTTTTCAAATCATGATTAAGTGTTCAGTTTGAGTGCATGAACATAATGTTTCTTTTAGCAATTGTGGTAGGTTGTAGTAGTTTCTCTTTTTTTGAGACAGGGTCATGCTTTGTAGTCCAGCTGGCCTTGAACTCACTATGTTTCCTTAAGTGACCTCAAATTCATGATGATCCTCCTGCCTCAGCCTCCTGATTGCTGGGATTAGAAGTGTGTACCACCATACCCAGCTAGTTTTCTAATCTTTTTTTTTTATGGCAGAACTGGAAATTGAACTCAGGCCCTTGCACTTGCCAGGGAAGTGCTTATTCCACTGAGCCATCTCCTTGGCCCCTAGTTTCCTAATCTTGAAGTAACTTTGTATTAATCTGATAACCCTATTTTTTGGGGGGGATGGGGGAGAGTACCAGGAATTGAATTCAGGACCTTGCACTTGCCAGACAGGCACTGTGTCACTGAGCTAAATCCCTGGCCTGATATGCCTACCTAATCATGTCTATACTGTGTGATTCAATTTGCTTATGTTTTATGGGAAAAAAAAATAGGTCCATAAATATAACTGAACTGTAGTTTTCCTCTCTTGCACTGTCCGGTTTGGATTCGTAGTAATAGGGCTTTGTAAGTTTCATCAAACATACCAGATATTTTTTCCTTTTTTTTTTTAAACATACTTTAGTACATTTCCCTGTAACTCCATGCCTTTCTCACTACACAGATCACACTCGTCATGATCCTCCTGTTATCGACCTCCCAAATGCTGGGATTACAAGTGTGGACTACCACGCCCAGTCTCAACCCCTGTCTCAGTGTGCCCTGGGGGCAGGGCCAGAACAGCAGGCCTGGGATCAAATCCCAGTCCCTGTGTCTCCCTAATCAGGCACTTTAATCTGCTGAGCTATCTGGCCGGCCCTGTCTGTGTTTTCTAAGTAATAGAGTAATGCATAGAAAACAGAATATATTCTTTGAAGATTGGTGTTACTTGTCCCTTAGCACTTGTTTTTAATTGTGTAATTTAAGTCCTCTACACCCTTGCTAAAAAAAACCAAAAAAACAAAAAACAAAAAAACTACCTGAGGTACATGTATCTGCAATGTATATACCTCCTTTGACTACAAGTGGTTAAAATTTTCTCATATAATTTTTTTGTTTCTTTTGGCAGTACCAAGGATCAAACTCAGGACCTTATTCCACTGAGCTAGCTTCCCAGCCCCTTGTAGTTCTTACAGTATTAGATTAGGCTATATTTTCAATCCCATAACAAGATTAATGAGTGAAGAATTCATACTTCCAATTTTACGAGAGTGAAAATAAGTAAACATTACATTTGTAGCCTCCATCATTTATTACTATGATTTCTCTTTTGATGCTTTCTCAATTACAATCACACATCAAATAATGTTAATTTTGGTCAATGGCAGGCCAAGTGTATGACAGTGGTCCCATAAGGTTGTATCATCTAATGACATTGTAGCCATTCTACATTGTATAAAAACACTTTAAAATTTTAAAAATCATTTTATCACCTAACAATTTATTTCTCAGAACATAGGCCTATTGTTAAGCAACATGTAACTATATATTAACACTGGCAGTTGCTTTCCTCTGATTACAATTAAAATTTTTAGTCCGAGATTTCCACATTGTAGGAGACTGCTTGTGGTAAATGTCCAACTGGATTTTGTTCTTAATCCAAACTGTCATAAAATGTATTATTGAAATTAATCCATTTATATTTATTGTAAATACTGAATTTTAGACTTTCCTCATTTTATTGTACCATACTTTTAGTTTCTTTTGTTTTTCTTGTTTCCATTTCTGCCATTTGTCTAATTGGGTAGGTTCTCTTTGTTGTACTGTCTCCACCTTTTTAATGGCCTGTAAATTATAAACCCAATTTGAGTCAATGCTACCGTTAAAAATTTAAGGTCACAATATTTGGGACATATATTAACATGAAAACCCTTAATCATTTGTATTCATAATCAACACATTTTGGAACTACTGACTTTTCTTATTTTCACCCTCGTAAAATTTTAAGTATGAATTCTTCACTCACCAATCTAAGGATTTAAACAGTTTTATGACAAGCATCAGCCTTTATTTATATAAATAACTTCAACTCCTTCATTCCATTTCTTCTTCATTCAGCCAAAAAATTTTTGGTCCAACGCACACAATCAACTTTCATCTCCTTTGTCCTTCACAGTCACCTCTTTCTACCTCTTGCTTCATCAGGGCCTTCACCAACTCTTCAATATCTTTGTCTCAGAACACCTTTTTATCTTCTCTCCTTGCATTAAAAAAAGTTACATTCCACCTTGTACTGAATGGCCTCTTCTGCTCTAGATTTGAGGAGCATTTTCCCTGTAACTCCACGCCTTTCTTCATTTATCCTTCAAAATGGCGGACTTGAGGCTGCACGATTAGTACCACGTGCGCCTGCGCCTCCCGCGGCCATTTCACCCAGCAGCCCAAGTTCCAGCGTCGGCTCAGCGAGGCGCCTGCGCACGAGCGTCCAGAGCACTGTGGCTCCTCCCTCTAGCTGAGTACGCCTGAAACCGCACGTCCTCTTTCCTTCCCTCCCCCGCCGACAATGCACCTCCCTCACCCTTTTCCTGTGAGATTCTTCCGCCGAGTGGAAGGCCCATCTTCGGTCGACAGCCTACGCACTTGAAGAGTAATCCAATAGGCACTTGAAGTCCTGGGTCTCCCCATTCAGTATTAGCTATGCGCCAGGGCAGTTTCCTTCCGGCCCTCAAAGTTGATAACCGATTTCGTGGGACTTTTTTGCATACCGTGGGGCAACGAATGGAAAGAATGGGCCGCTAGCGGAAGGATCTCTCGCTTACGCGCTGTGTACTCTAACCTAATGGGGGTCGCCCGGGAGTCGAAGGGGGAGGGGAAAGGGAGGAGGTAGCCAAGGAATTGTTTTTTTCTCTCGCCCCACCCTTAACAGCTCGGCCAATAGCGTTGAGGAATTTTCCCACGAACCTCGCCCACCTCCCGCGATTCAGCCAATGAGCGGCGGAAGCGGCTCCGAGGGGGCGGGCCCGGGAGGCAGTGCGTGTCTTGTGAGAGCTCTTGAACCAAGTCAGAGATAGAGTCGGCTAGGCAGCTGAGAACGGCGGCTGCCGCCGGTGACTCAGGGAGGCGGGAGGCGGGGTAAGAGCGTCACGGCCTCGGCTGCGGGGAGAAGAGGAAGAAAGGCGAAGGCGCCGATCCCGTCGCCCCCGCGCCTAGGCGTAGGCGGGGACGAGGGGCCCCGGGGTTCGGAGCCCAGCGAGCGGGGATCGGGACTCGGGACTCGGGGCTCGGGCGGGGCGGGTGTGGAATCGAGGGCTCGCCCACCCTCCCCGCGGACTGCCCGGGGCGGTACCCGCCGCCTGGGACAGGGCCTCCGTGTAGGGAGCGCCCTTTCTTTTCCGGGCGGAGGGACGAACAGTTGAGAATCCACTTGAACCGAAAACCCACTCGCGCCCTCCACTCCCTCTGCGTTGAGGCGTGGGGTTTGGGGTACGCGAAACTTGGAGGAGCGAGGGTCACGCGGCGCGCGGGCCGTGGCTGCGGTGGGGGAGGGAGGGGGCGGGAGGCGCGGGCGCAGCTCCGGGTGCGGCGTCCGCGGGGCTCCGGCCCGCTCCCGCCGGCCGCCCCCATCGCGTTTTGTTTTTGTGCTCCTTCCAGGGAGGAGCCCTTCCTGCCGGCGTGGAAACCATGGTGCTCACGCTCGGAGAAAGTTGGCCGGTATTGGTGGGGAAGCGGTTCCTCAGTCTGTCCGCGGCCGACGGCGGCGGCGACAGCTGGGACGTGGAGCGTGTCGCCGAGTGGCCCTGGCTCTCCGGGACCATTCGCGCCGTCTCGCACACCGACGTGACGAAGAAAGATCTGAAGGTAACAGCCGCACCCCGGCCGAGCTGAACCTAGACGCGGCGGCCGGACAGGTCGCAGTTACCTTGGTAACGCGACTGTCGGCCCCTTCCCTCTCTTTTCTGCAAATGGGCGTCCTACGAAAGTTGGCATCTGATCTGAAGGTGCAGAAAACTAGACCTTGAAAGTCTTTGAAATGGTTGTGTAGATCCGAGGTGGGTTTGGCCTAGAGTTCTTGGCTGCCCGTGTTTAATAATGGGCCCCAGGTTGTTGAGACACGCTTCATTAATGCCGGCACTGTGCCCCGTAGGACTGTGTTTATTTCTCTGAAGGGAGGAGCATTGTTGTGGGTTCTGGCCTGGGCGAATGGGTGACATTTGGCCTCGTTAAGAATGTAGAGCTGGGGCTTAAAAGTGCTTTCAGATGGTTTTAGAGGTTATCCATTTCTTCATCCAACTTTAAAAAAAAAAAAGGCAAAAAAACTTAAGAATTGTTAAAAATGAATGAGCACAGAGGGAGGAGCTTAGCTCTGTTTGGGTCTATGGTGGGTCAGGGCGGGCAGGCATGGGTTCTTAGTTGTCTACGAGGAGTGTAAGTGGGTGTGGAATATGACCATATAAGGACGGATGGGGTGGAGCCGCCCCTTATATGGTAGGGTGGAGGATCGGCTTGGAGATGTTTTACTTGGGTGATTGGGAGAGGGAGAGAAGTGGGAACAAGTGCGGCCAGTGATTTTCAAAATCAGAATGACAGTCGGAATCCTTTCCAGCTATATCTTTTCAAAAAGGGATGAATCCTAATTGTTCAAATAGAAGTATGGGTGTGAAAAAATTGTCTGGGAACAACCAGCGAGGAAACCATTGGGCCAACAAAGACTTCTTTGTGCAAAAATAACTGAAAAAAGGTCCCTAACAAAGACTCCAAAGTGGTGATAACTTGAAGGAAGCTTGTCAGAGCAGAAACTGTTTCCCCAAGTAATGCCTGTGTTCAGGATCTTGCTTGGTCACCAATCATCTTTGCTTTTTCTTAAAACTATGCATAGATAAATGCTACAAGATTTAGTGTTGGCAGTGTAACATATGCTGCTTTCGGAAACACTTCATCAGAACACTTGCAGAGTGACAGTGGGGAGAGGATATGCTGTACAGTTTTAGAGTTTCCACTGTGTGCCTCCTCTTCGTGTTGGAAAGGAGGTGTGAGCACCTAACACTTAACCAACCACCTTCTAACAGGGAGCCCATCACTTGACAGCCTTGATCTTATCTATCCCGTGCTTTGGGGTAGGTTCTAATATTGGCTGTCCTTTCTTATTTTGTTTGTGAAAGTACCCCGCCTAGAGATGATGAGGTATTCTTGCCTGAGGTCCCATACTTGGGAATTAGCATAGCCAAAGTACCAGGAGAAGTCTGGTGGGTTTTTTCTTGCCAATCCATTCATTCTTGCACCACATCAGGTTTTCATGTGTAGACAGTGTATTGTGCAGAGATGGCCAAACTATTTCCTTTCCCTTAATAACTGTGTAAGATGAGCTTTGTGTATCAGATCATAGTCATAGTTTATTTCATCTGTCAAGTAAAATTTTCTGTAGTACATTTGTTTAATCACGTATGAAAGGAAATAACAGATTTTTGTAAACTTTAGCTCTTCAGCAAATGATAAGAGGCTCTTTGTTTCCCTGCCAGCAATGGAAGACTTGTTAGTTTAGGTAGCAATTTAAGAGGTCTGTAACATGTTTTCTTTTTGATCCCCACTTCCCTGCCACCCCAAACCTGAGGAGGAAGTGATACCTTCACTTTTCAGAATGAGCAAGTAGTTTTCCGAGGACCTTCCTGACTAGCTACTATGGAGGGAGAACTTGAATCTGGATTTGGCCATGTTTTCTCCACTGCACTAAATGCCTAACTTGGAGACAACTGGAACTGCAAGAACAATTTTGGTTGTGTTGGGTTTCCCTGCAGATTTGTTGGTCCATCTCTTAATGTGACACACAAATCTCTTTCCTAACCAGGATTTACCACTACATTCCTTAGTTGAGCAGTAGATAAACTTACTGGCCCCAGTTTAGGGAACATGTTGTATTTAACAAAAATAAATCAGTTGTGCTTGGTGAGATGCAGACAGAAAAACTTAAGACCATGCTTACATCTGGGCTCAGTTGGTGTCATTGAGATTTTCAAAGGTCTGGGATTGAAGGCTGAGATGAGTATGAATAATAAAACTCAGGTGTTATGCAACTATTCTTCCCTTATTACCTATCTCTGGCTGGCTTGCTTAATTGAGAATAATACCAAGGAACAGAGGCTTGTTAATTTTGTTTCACCTAGGAAAAGACTTTGTAATAGCCACTTAGATGATAAAAAGTCAATGTATCTTTTTGATTGCAGTGAAGTTAAGTTGAAGATATTGTAACTGTAGATAAGTGATCAAATGGTTCTTATGTGGCAAGTACCTTAATCCTCACAAATATCCTGTTAAAACTTGCTTCTTAGTGTCAGGAACTGAGGTTTAAAGAAGTTTTATTAAGTTGTCTGAGTTTATATCCAGACCCTAAATACTGGGCTTTAATATTCAGGGAGAATTAGATCAGAGCACTCTTATTTTGACAGCTTCTGTATCCCTAATACTGAGAACATTTCTTGGCATGTAATGTGCGCCAAATATTGGCATGAATGGATGAAGAAATCACAAAATCATTTTAAAAATAATGTACATATAGAGCAGAGGCATTTTCTATGCCTAGAATATCCACAGAGCTTAATTAAATGTGATTAGAAGTACCGCTTCAATCTTATTTTAATCCTACTTTTTACTAGAGTATGAAGCAAGTTCCTTCCCAACTGGTTTCGTTCACCTTGTTAGGTATACTGGGAGTGCCCTCCCTCCCTAGCATGCCTAAGTAAGTCTTTATCTTTTTCTGCTCTTCCTTTTCCTTAAGTCTTCTGCTCTCCATGGCCCATCTGCATGGATCTAGCAAGTCTTTGCCATCTCTCTATCATTTCCTGTTAGCGTCAGGTTGGGTGCCTTGACCACGTCTAGTCTGAAGAGCAGTGAAGTTGTACTGTATTCTGCGTTGTACAGCTGGTGTATAATTTAAAATTTCTTAACTAAAAATACCATTATTTTCTATGTTTTTCTACTTTTAAGCTTGGAAACATTTTCTTTAGCATTCTGATGAGTTTTATAATCATACGCAGGTGAGATGAATTTGTGCTAGGATTGTGAAGTTGAGAGATTAGCTTGATTTATTTATTTTTATTTTTTTGGCAGAACTGGGGATCAAACTCAGGCCCTTGCGCTTGCCAGGGAAGGGCTTATTCCACTGAGCCATCTCCCCGGCCCCGAGATTAGCTTGATTAATTATAACGTTAAATCCAGAAGAAATTTCCTGTTGAAGTAAAATTAGTTAGAAGTAATTAGTTTGAAATATCCAAATCTAGTCCAGATAGTTGGTAGGCTAATAAAGTACACACTTATAAAATACCCTATTAAAAGAATAGCAGATTTGAAATTTACAAAGCAAAAAATCACAATCAGTTGGCTTTTTCTTGGCCTTTAGTGTGAGACATAGTAAATAACGTTGCTTTGTAGGCCCAGGGAGGTGGCAGGAAGGACCCATGAAACTAGTTGATAGAGTGTATCAACTTGCATAGCATGGTCAAGCACTTCAGCTTAAAAGACATCTTTTAATAGACATGTCTGCAGGCTATTTGGGAAGGTTGCTCTTAAATATAGAATCTCAGACTCCAGGTCACCTGGCTGTGTGTGTGTCCAGTGCTGGGGTGGAATCCAGGGCTCGACCCCTGGTAAGCAAGCACTGTACCACAGAGTTACACTCCCCACCCTAGACAGGCGTACATGGTGTTAATAGGGAACCTTTGGAAGAGTTTTGAGAGAAGCATACAACTTTCAGGTTATGGTGTGTACATTTTTGCAGTTATCTTTTAAACCAGTTTTTATGGAGTTTCCACAAGTGCCACTTTCTTAGGAGCTAAACTTTTTTTCTCAAAAGCACTGACAGATTGAGTTATGGATAGCAACCCTATCCAAATTTTGGGCCGAGTCATGTTGAATTTTAGATAGTGATCTGCTAACACGGGATTTGTTTTGTTTTCTTTTTTTGTAGACAGGATCTTGCTGTTTAGTTCAGCCTGGCCTTGAACCAGGCTGGTCTTGAACTCAGGGCTCAGCCTCCTGAGTGCTGGGATTACAGGTGTGCGCTACCATGCCCGGCCTCCCAGCCTCTGCTAGTGCTTGTGATGTTGCTTGAGCTTTGGCAAACTGCTTAAGCCTTCACTTTCTTTTTTTCTTACATGCTGAATAAATATATAATAATGTTGAAAACCCTCTTCATTCCAGCTGATGAAATGATATGCTAATAAGATTTAAATTACTTTGGAGGTCTTACAGTTAAGACCTCCAGATACTTGTCTTACCAGATACCTTGCATGCATTATTTTTAAAAACTCTTACTTATTAGGGAGGTTGATGTTACTGCTTTCACTTTGAAGTTAGTAAAACAAGTTTCAGAGGACTTGGATTTAAGCAAAGGTCCTTAACCTGCAGTGTAATTTAATTTGTTTATTTATTTATGAAATGATCTTAATAAGTATCCCAGGCTGGCCTTGAACTCATGGTGATCCTCCTGCCTCAGCCTCCTGAGTGCTTGGATTACAGGCAGGCACCACCATGCCTGGCTTGGTTTTCTTTTAATCATATGTTTTATTTTAGGCATAGAAAGTCATGGAAACATCAGCACAGCTAGGATCCAAGCCTGGTTCTTTTAGATAAGAAAACTGGTGCTAAAGGCAGAGTCGGATTTTAGGTTGTTCTGAGTACAGGGCAGAAAGATGAGTCATTCTAGGGAAGATGTGGTAGAACCTGTGTTCTGTTGCAAAGAAATAGAAGACGGATGACCCCTGTACGCCTTGTAGTTACTTGATTGCGAGCCATAAAGGGAATTGGGAGGGGACAGTATGTCTAAAGATTTAGGTAGGATAATAAGGGTATAATTCAACAGTGTTGGTAATGTTTACTTTTGTTAATTTTTCCCACTTTGCCTAGGTGTGTGTGGAGTTTGATGGGGAATCTTGGAGGAAGAGAAGATGGATGGAAGTCTACAACCTTCAGAGGAGAGCATTTCTAGTAGAGCATCATTTGGTTTTGGCTGAGCGACAGTCACCTGCAATTGCTGAACGAATTACTCAGTGGCCTGCAATAGTGAGTAAAGCTGACTTAACTATGAGAAGAGAGGGTTTTGTCTGTTTTGGTCCATGTCTGTGACAGGGTAGAAGAGCCTCAATGCCCAGTTGCCTGAATTGCATGAGGCATTGGGTTCAGTCCCCAGTACTGAAGCAAAAAGAGAAGTGCACTCAGCATCCTCTGTCAGCCTTGTGATCCGCTCCCAAGCCCTTGGGTCTCAAAGGCCTTCCTTTCTTCACTGGAAAATGGGTTGGAGTCAACTCTGGGAATGTCTGGGTGAGGGGTCGGAAATGAGCGGTCACACAGACGTAGTAATCCAGCAAGCAGTTGGTGGAAAGGAGTGATTCCTGTGACTGGAGAGGACTGTTGAGGATGTGCGGGCTGTAGACTGAGGCTGGAAAGGGAAGCGCTGTATGTGTACAGATGGGTAGGAAAGCTGGGGACCCCTTTGAGCGCTGACCACATTGGAGGGTGACATAGAGCTAGCAAAGCTAAAAGTTTGCCCACAGTGGGAAGAACTGCTAGATACTTGAATGGTATGGGATTATGATTGAAGTTGTAGCTTGCCTTTTGTATTTTCTTTCCAGCTATTTAGAAATTTCTAAAAATGTAGCCTTGCCTCCCAGAATGTGCATGCATACTTTTTTTTTTCATATATTTCTTGGTTAACCGTGGATCTGTAGGCCCATATGTTAATGACTCCCAAATATGTATTGGGTTCAAATAAGAACTACATGATCTTGTGGCTTAGTTACGAGATCCTTAACAGTAAATAAAATACTTAATGGCTTATCACTTTGTATGTGGAAAATTGCCAGCTCCTATTTTCAGAATAGTACTGGTAGCAGTTATGATGCCAAAACATGTTCTTTTGTTTTAGATGTACAAATCTCTGTTGGACAAAGCTGGTTTGGGATGTGTAACTTCCATTCGCTTCCTAGGAGAGCAACAAAGCATATTTCTTTCCAAAGACCTTTTGAAGCCTATACAGGTAAGACATAGGAACAGTGTTAAAGCCATAAAAATAGATGCACAGATTTTTTTTTAACATGAGAAGCAAGGTACTGATGTTGATTGCCCTCATTCAAATACCTGATAGAGAAAAGAGTCCACCCATGAAGAGTTCTTGGATAGCATCTCTCAGTGTTAGACTTTGAGGTAATAATATTCAGAGCTGAAAGGACAGAGGCACTATAGTTGATGAGGTATGTGTGGAAACAACTAGGGGATGTGCACGTAGTTGTTCAAAATTATCGTTCATAGTTGTGTATGAGTACATACACACACGTAGTCCTTCTTATTCATGAAGCCCATGTGAATTGATCTACTTGCTCACATGTGTTTATAATCTCTAAATCATTACTTCTGATGGCTCATGGTCTTTGTAGTTACACACAGAGCAGCAGTACTTGTAATTGCCCCGTGCATGTCCCTGTTTGAGGTCAAATAAGGTGCTGGTCTCTATTTTCTTGTTTCAGTTCACGGACTATAAGCAGGTATCCTTCTTTGCCCCTTTTCTAGTGTTACCTGTGTGTGTTTGGTGACTTTACTGTTTTAAATCCCAGTAGGCCTAATGTTAAAGAGCTGTCTGGTCTGTGTAAGTACAAGAAGGCAGTAGTGGGTAAGAAATACATGCGTTAGGTAAACATTCTTTGGCCATGAATTCTAGTGCTTTTGGCCATGAGTTCAAGATTAACGAATCAGCATTTCAGTATTAATTAAGGTGTCTCTTAACAGAAATCCACATTTAAAAAATATTTTTTTTATATTGATCTATTGATGAGAATGTGACTAGAATCTCACAGGATTCCTCTGTTCCTCTCAATGGTAATGATTCATTCCGTATTCAGTATTTTTGCCAACCTGATAGACTGCCAGTACTGTAAAGAATGAGAATCAGTGTACCTATATATTCTTTCCAACAACCTTTAGGATCCTGGATCTTGCTTGTATGTGATTCTTTGTTGTGAAAATGCTGAATGGAATGCATGCAGAATAATTTTGCTTTTGTATTTCCATTCATCACCATTTATGAAACTTACTAATCTGTCTCACCCAGTTGTGTGTGACTTCAGACCTGAGACTCTTCTGTGGTGTGTGGTACTGTGAAACCTGTTATTTGCTGAAAGGCAGTTTGGGGTCGAAGGTCACAGGATAGCTGGCCTATTTTGGAAAGTCCATGGCACGATCTATTTGCATTTTTCTTTTGCGTAGTGTAGAAGTCAGGGAAAATGACTATGATGTGGACTTGATTTTACGTTTGAAGTAGATGAAACAGAGGAAGATGGTTTCAGATGCAAGTTACCTGCATATGGTAGAAGAATATATTGCTTCTAAGGACCAAGAGCCATATAGGGATGGTGTGGAAATTCTGCTTTTTTGAGAAGTATAGACTTTACTTCTGGGCCTTGTTTTCTAAGTTTTTGTTTCTTGAGATGAAAACTGTAGAAGAATACATTTTTATTTGTTTGCTGGGAGAAGAACCAGCCTTGGCCTTATGTATACATTTTCCAGTGGTAGGAAAGTATGCAGGCCTTATATTGCAAGGGCTTCTGTGTTAAGCACTGTTTTTGCTTTGCCTTGTTAGCATTTGGACTTGGCCGGTTGTTCCTATTGACAGTTTCTGTGTACGTTTGTCATAACTGGGTGTGCACGCAAAACCAGAAGACTGTGGAACAGTGCCAGGAATGAAGCTGCTGCCAAGAATTTGGATATTTCAAAACTGGTTTAGTGTGAAACCTTAGGCTAATCCTTCGGATTCTGTGTTTGTCTCCTCACCATCCTTACCTTTTGTAAAAGAATGCATTTGGAATTGTAGCTAAATAAAGTGAATCTGTGTGATATGAGTTAATAATAACAGTGGAAATGAATTGATAGTGTTCTGTCTTTTGTGTGTTTTATCTCTGTGTTTTGCCCCTTCTATTTGGATGTGTGGTTTCCTCACCCCCAGTGTTGGGGATATGCAGTGTTTTTACTTGGACTGGCAGCTTAGTGTGTTTGCTTATGCTTTTTCTATAACCAGGGTGATGTCATGTGTCCTAGTGTGCCTTGAGCCGCTTAGTATTTCTCAGATTCCTGGCGTGGAGTGACTTCGCTTCAGTCTGCCTTCCACCTGTGATTGTGTGAGTCCAACTGCAGTTGGAATGGTCTGGCGCCAAAAATGGCTAGTTGAAGCCACTGTAGCCTCTCTGATTAAACTCATTAATATACCACTGGAATTTTAAAACACTTCTTAAAATGTAACGATCTTTGATTTTATAGGATGTAAACAGTCTTCGGCTTTCCCTTACCGATAATCAGAAGGTCAGTAAGGAATTTCAAGCCTTGATTGTGAAACATTTAGATGAAAGCCATCTCTTACAAGGTATGTGGATGATCTCTTGGTGACAGTTCGTGAATTGATCAGTAATTACCCTGTAAGAAGTTAGGATTCAGCTTGTTTCATTCTGTCATTGAAATTTATTTTGAAAATGTGAAAAGAATTTTAAAGTTCAAAAATGTAAAAAATCATGTTTTTATTTTTCCCATGCAGCTAGATGACTTGAAGGACTTAACTAGCACATTCTAAATGTTCTTAAGTTTGGAAAGGTCAGGGGTTGTAAGAAACCATGGAAGCAAAACAGATATTTTAAAAACTGATACTTTAATGTGAAATTTGATGTTTGGTATTCCTGACTATAAAACCGATAAAGCTTTTATTTGATTGTCTTTACCTTCCTGCTCACTGCTAGTGAGTTTCTTCGTTTCACGCTCATAAAAAGTTCCTATTTTTTTTTTTTTTTAATTTTAAATGTGGCAGTTCTTTGTGAACTTTTTTTTTTTATAAAAATCTACACATGAAAAAAAAATCTACACACGATAATGAAATGATTCTAATAAATTGTTCGGTAATTCTTGGTCCTTTATAATATGCTAGAATAAATATATTTCCAGTCTCTTAATTAAATGTCTAGGAAAATGGAACTTACAAATAAAAGGTTTACATTTTCCTAGCTTTGCTGAAATATCTGTCCTGTGTTTATGATAATTCGTTCATGTTGACTATGGCATATTTTAAAAAGATGCAGGAAAAGATGGATCTCAACATAATGTTAATGGGAGATAATACAGACTGCTCTAAAACTTTTTCTCTTTCTAAGGAGACAAAAACCTAGTTGGCTCAGAAGTAAAAATTTACAGCTTGGACCCATCTACCCAGTGGTTTTCAGCAACTGTTGTAAATGGAAACCCAGCATCAAAAACACTTCAAGTCAACTGTGAGGAGGTAAAGACAGTAACAGTTGCATGTGAGGTAACTTAGTGGAAGAGAGAACTCCAGAATGTTTATCTTTCAGCAGGAGCCTAAGCCCTTTCTTTATAAAATGTTAGGGCAGAAGTAGAAATGATTATAATTGTTTTAATAACTGTTGCATGTTTTTAATCTCAGCACTGGCAGGCTGAGGCAGGGGCATTGCAAGTTGAAACCCAAACTGGGCAACAAAATTTTAAGGAGGGGGCGCAAGGAGAGTTGAGGCTGTGGCTCAGTGTGAAGGCCCTGGGTTAGATCTCAAACACCAAAAACAAACAAACAAAAGTATTGTTAGGCCCTATTATGTTAATAAAGTAATTTTCACCATATTCCCAAGCATGCTTAAACTTTTCAGTGTTTTGTTTTATTTTTAAGATTCCAGCACTGAAAATTGTTGATCCATCACTGATTCATGTTGAAGTTGTACATGAAAATTTTGTGACATGTGGTAAGATACATTGAGGAAAACCTCTGTTTCTTTTTCTTCTTATATTAAGAGAAATAGAAATGCAAACTCAACTTTTTTTTTTTTTTTTTTTTTTTTTAATTTCAGGTAATTCTGCAAGAATGGGAGGTGTAAAACGCAAGTCTTCTGAGAACAATGGAAGCTTGGTTTCCAAACAAGCAAAGTCTTCCTCTGAGGTAACCTTGATTTATTCCTGTCACTGCATAAAGCTTTCTTTGACATTGCATGGCCAGTCTTTTTTATTGGTCATAAGCTTTCTGCTCTGTCCTGTGTCTTGTCTGCTCTTTGAAGTTCCAGGTCTTGGCCATAATTTCTACACTCAAGCAGATGGAGATAATATAAATTTCTGGTTCACTACTTTTTGTGCAAAAACACTTTTCTTTTTTGATATTTGGTGGAGGTGTTTTTGAAAGTAAATTGAGATATATGTGTAAAATTGGAAGAATGGTGTGAGGAAAGGAAAGAGCTGTAGAGTTCTGCATTGATTGGATGTTGAAAATAGGATCTTTACTCTCAATAGGAAGTTCCATGGTTGCTTATGATTGGGCATATAGACAAGCTAGTGTTCAAAGGAGATGATTTGCTGTTATTAATCTCTGCCCAGAAAAGTATAGACCTCTGAATGCCACATGGGTTTAGGTGCCAGATTTAATTCTCTTTTGAAATAGTTATTTTTTAGACCAGGGAAGTTAAGACTATTTCTTCTATAGGTGAGCTCAGACAGTGGATCTATTGGAGTGTAAATAACTACAATTTAGGTAGACAAATGCAGTTGTGTCACATGGATAGTTTCCTGCATTCCAGTGATCAAAAAATATTGGTCAGGGGTGCAGCTCAGGGGTAGTGCTTGGCTAGCATGCACCAGGCCCTGGGATCCATCCCCAGCACCACCAAACAAAACTGCTTTATGATCCTGTGCTTCAGGCTACAGCTTAGACTTTTGAAATCCATTGGGATGCTACTGTTCAAGACTCTTAATATTTGAGAGGGACCTTGAGGCCTAGGGAAACAAGGCAAGGAGGACAGCTTAGAATGGGCCAGAACCCCGGGTTCATTGCTAGATTGGCCAATGGGCTTTTCTGAGCCCATGACAGGGAACAGGCAACAGGAACTTGAACACTTTACCAAAGGCCATGTAAATTATGCTGTCTAAAACCTGGTCTTCTCCAAGCATAAAAGTTTGACCCCTTAGTTGAAGGCTCAGGTTGTTCAAGAAAGAATAAAGATGTTATTGTGGATTGTCATTCGCTTTTGCCTTAAGCTAAGTATTGAATGTGGAAATACTGAGCACTGTGTGCTGGAGATGGAGAGGTACTGAGTTCCCATCTCAAGGTACGTGTAGTCCAGAGAGGGTGACAGTCTCTCCCAATCTCTGCCCTGAGCAGGAGCCGTGTAGGTACACAGGAAGCAGCCTGGACCAAAGCTTGCCAAGAAAAATTTTGCCCTAGTTGGAGCATTTGTGGAATGGGAAGAAAGAAAAGCACAGTCAGAGGTAGAAAGGAAGTTGGGGTTTTATCTTGTACTTGGGCATGGAGGGTGGTTGAGAGTATTTAGGGGTTTTGAGTTCAGGCTGTTGGCTGGGCTGTGTAGATGATGAATGAGGAAAGGCCTTCAAAATAGAAACAAGGAAAAGGTCAGAGGCAGAGTTGGGCTGGACGCGAGGCAGGGAAATAGGGACGGAGAGCTGTTTAGCAAGAGGTAGCACTAGCTGAACTTGGTGCAAGCTTATGACCGAGGAAGTGGGCAGCCGGCCTCAGGAGAAGGTAGCACGTGTGGAAGGCCTGCTTCGTGCAGTGCCATAGCGACCTTGCAAAGCACAAGTGACATGGTCAGGTGGCCATTATTGTATCGTGTAGTCTCCTAGTATAGAGGAAACTGAACTGTTGAAGTGGGGCTTCTTTTTCTAGAAGGAAATGGCTTTGTAATACAGGTAAAGACAAAGGAGGCCAGGCAAGTGATTGTTGCATTTTAAACTCGGGGAGGATGTTGCCAAGTGATGCAGTGTTAGAAGCTGAGAGACAAACTGGTAAAATTATAACCTATCAGGTTTTGGTATGGAAAAATTGTTAGCAGTGTAGGATAAAAGGCCGTTCTGGCTCGGTGATACTGTTAATGGAGAAAGCATCAGTGTCAGTGGCCCGAGGGATGATGCGTGAGTAGGGTGGAAGTCTGCAAGGAGGAATGGCGTACCTTCAGAGAACTGAGTTGATTAGCACCAGGAGAGATGAGTGAGCAGGCACGTTTATAACCTGCAAGGACGAGCTTGTGAAGAGTGGTAATATGTACATGTGTGATACTGTCATCTGCTTGACTAGAACTTGAAGGGTAGGGAATATGTTAAAAAAACTTTCTCAGAAAAGTATAGTAAAGCAAAGAGATATCACTTGTAATGCATTTCTGAGAGACTTCATTCATACTTAGGAATACTTCCCTCCTTCCTCAGTTTTTTTGTTTAAAGATTTTAATTTTACTCTCTTGTCACCTCCTTGACTCCCCTGTGAACATTTACTGTATCAGTATTGTTTCTCATCCTGGGAGGTCATTGTAATCAGTCAAGTTTTGGGCATGGCCTAGTTTATAAGAGGGCTGAGGAGGTAAAGGAAGCAGGGGAAAGAGAGCGAGTTGATACAAATGTGTGAGCAAAAGGTGAGTATAGTAACCGCTGCTCCTGGCGTGGGCCTCACTGCCTTCTTAGGTGGACTGACCTGCACAGGATTTCTTTCCTAGTGGTGTTTGAAGCCAGGAGTCTGGGATTAGGTCAACAAGACACCAGCGTGCCTCACTGAGTGCTTTCGGTTAAGATAAACCTGTTTGCCAGTGGCATCTGGCTCCTTGAAGGTCTTCTCTGCCTAGCAGACTCTTCCACAGAGTTATGACGGATGTTGCTTGGTTAATTGGGAGAGTCTGCTGAGGGGCGAGAGCCAGCAGTGTCCTCTTTAGAATACTATCGTACACTCAATTATATTATCTCCGTCTGCTGGCAGGGAGGAACTATTGCCATGACTGGTATAGAAGACCTTCAGGGAAAACTCTTCAGGTAAGAAGAAACTTTGACCCTTTGTTGAGTCAGAGGCCAGTGCAGAGGTGTGCACATGAAGATGGGCTTGGGAGTCAGAAGGCCTACCCTTTGGAGCCGAACCTTAGAGAGTTGTAGAGGGATTGACTTTAGTTTCTGAAAGCCTCTAAGTATTTCTAATTTTATCACATGGTGACATGACTAAGAAACTTTCTACAATGTTTTTGCTGTAAGAGTGCCCATCTCTATCTAAATTGATGTTATCTTGGGCCAAGGACTGCCGTAAATGCACAGCCACATAAAGCATGCTTTATTATTCTCATTTTATAAATGAGATTAATGTGCTGAAAGTGTTAGACACTAAATCCAAAGTAAGATCTGACCCTAAATCAAATATTCTTAACCACTGCACTGTTTTCCCTCCCTCCAACCCCTTTCTATGTTATGGTGAATCACCATCATTAAAATGGCAAATTCTTCCCCTCTGTCCCTTCCTCCTCCCAACAAATAATTATAAATCTTTAGTGTGAGAGACACTAACGTACAGTGGTAAGCATTACCACTGCCTGTCTCTTCAGGTAACTTATAAGAATTATTTGTGGTTATTTATAAATATACAAAGTACTAACCGTGTTTGTTCATGTATACAGTACTTTTTCATTCCCCCAATCTTACTTACTGAGCATCTTGCATATGTCTGGCTTGATGTGGTCTGATACCAAGGAGCAGGGCCTCTGCTATAAGGAATGCAGGGCCCATTGTGAGCAAGCTGACAGTGGGAGGTCCTTTCCCAGTATGACCTGTGCTGTGATATAACCGTAGGAGTATGTGATAAGGAATAAATGGAGCACCACTTTGGAACGAACAGTCTAGGAGTCTGGCAAAGTGACATTGGAGCAAATGTGAGGATGAATGGAAGGGGCCAGCCAGCCTTTGAAGAGGGCAGGTAGAGGGAATGGCAAGTACAAAGACCAGGCAGAAAGGGCTTCTACTGCTGGAAGCCCAAAGAAGAAGCCAGTGTAGTTGGGCTGCTGTCGGGGAAGAGTGAAATGAGATAGGGGCCTGGGAATTGGTGGGAGCCTGGGGCACAGGGGGTTCCTGTAAGGTCGTAAAGTGCCAGGCGTTACACAGATGGCTCTGCTAGTATACGTTCAGGAAGAGGTGGAGGATGAGCAGGAATAGAAGAAAGGCTTATTAGGAGACATGGAGGGTAGGAGAACGGTGGTGATCATGTCATGCAAAGTAGTGGAGAGATGCAGTGAGTCCTTCTGACATAGCAGCAGGGGTGATTGATTCATTGATTGAATGTAGGAAGTGAGAGAGAGAGGTTTATTTTTCACTTGAGCAGCTTGATGGACACAGTACACATAAAATGTATGTGTAAGTTTGTGTTGTAACTCATGAGTGCATTACTCTTAGAATAACCTCAGGGAAGGTGATACACATCAACTTTAGATGTGTCCAGAGTAAGAAAAAGGGGTAGATGGGAGACAGTGTATGGTGACAGCAGGCCTTGGGTAAGCATCTTGTAATGATTTGGCATTTGGACTTGGGGAGGCTGGCCTTTTAGTAGGTGCTTTCTAGAGCATTGTAAGTTAGTATGGCCTAAAGGGACCTTTTAGAAATGAACTAATTTAATTTCCTAAGTTAAAGGGATAGGAAAAAGCTGCAGAGCAGTGTAAAGGATCCTTCTCCAAAAAACTAAAACCAAATCAAAGAGCAGACATACTACATCTTTTGATGAACACAGAACTAGTATTTAACAAAATTTGGTTGACAAAAATGTTTGATCAGGGGCCGGGGAGATGGCTCAGTGGAATAAGCACTTCCCTGGCAAGTGCAAGGGCCTGAGTTCAATCCCTGGTTCCGCACCCAAAAAAAAAAAAAAAAAGTTTGATCAGATAATTTAGTACTTAAACATAATTTGAAGTTATTCTAAAACTTTGATAGTGAATAACTCCTTTTTATTTTTTAGGTAGTTCTGTGGGATTTTGTTGGTTTTTGAGGCAGAATCTTGCTATGTTGCCCAGGATGGCCTAGAATTCCTGAGCTCAAGTAGTTCTCCTGCCTCAGTCTCATGAGTAGCTGAAATTACAGGAGTACACCAAATCTGCTTGGCTTAATTTTCACTTATTTCTGTTTAGATACTTCTTTCAAGGCTGCCAGAGTAAACGTTTAGGGGAAAAAATCATGAGTAAGCAACATGTAAATAGTTTTAGAATTGTAGGTTTTAAAAACCTACTGAAGTTCTGCAGTAAATTTTAGAAGTTAATTACTGCAAGATGACACTTTAAATATCCTCTGAGTTTAGATTTGGTGACAAGGTGAAGGTCCTTGCAGTGTGAAGGGGGTGATAGAGAAAGGTACCTGGCATACACAGGTGCAGAGTTGGGTGAAGGCAGGGATGACACGAGATTTGGCCATTGAACATCTAGTTGTCTCGAGGTTTTCTCTTCCTGTTTCAGTGGTGGGAAATTCATTTTTATGGCCAGCATAGTGTAAAGCGGTAAGAAGTGAATCGGTATTTGTGTTTTTGTAGAGGTGAAATTACATGAGAAGGGGAGGAAAAAAGATGTCCCACCTGTCTTCCATGGGCCTGCCCTGACTGAATATTTTTTGCAGCTTGGGGATGGCCTTTGTTACTTGATGAGCCAAGAAGCATGTCCTCAACCTTTTGCATTGCAAAGGCCTATCTTGGCACCCAGTAGGCACCACTGCCTACAGAAATCTGGTCTGGTCTGCTGCCAGTCCGCGCAGTAAGTGCCTGGTGGGCACTCAGGTCATGTCAAAATGAATGCATGTGAAGCTGCCACCTTTAAGACACTTGGAAGTTCACTTCTGTGCCTTGCACTGTTCCAGTAATGGCTACGTGACTTTTCCCAGTGTAATGACAGGTCTGAAAAAAGATCAGCTCATGATCTTTTATGGGAGTGCTTAAGTTTTCTGAAAACCTGAAGCAGTTTGTTTACAACCTTCAGTTAGAAGTGCTTAACTGTGATTATCATGTGTTTACTGCACTGATCTTTAATTGGTGATAGAATAGTGCTGTTGCAATAGTAAACCAAGGAAATCATCTTGAATCATGCTAGCTTGGAAATTTCTTAGACTTCCCTTTTAATATCTGTTGGTTTGATATTTTTTAGGCCTCTCCCAGTGTGTGTCCTGTACAGTCTGTTCCCACAGCAGTGTTTAAGGAGATCCTGCTCGGCTGTACTGCAGCAACTCCACCCAGTAAGGACCCGAGACAGCAGAGTACTCCCCAGGCTGCCAATTCTCCACCTAACCTTGGAGCAAAACTCCCTCAAGGGTGAGTAGAGCTTTGTTAATGATGTTTGATCATAGCAATGAAAAGTTGTGGTAGGTATGATTCATTACTCCTGTCTCGCATTGCCAAGGGAAGTTTTTTTCTAAGATTTCCCAAGAGGAGAGATAGATTAGGTGCCTAAGAGGAGAGAAGTGTAGAAGACACATGCAGTGTCATGGAAGACTGCGGAGAAGGGGGTGGGGGCTGTGCCTTCCCTTCAGAAGACATAGTACAAAGGCACAATTAAAACACTGCTTACCTTTGGAGAATAAGTGTCTGCTTTCAAGGAAAAGGGAACAGATAATTGTGTATGGAAGGCTGAGGTCAGTGGGAATGTGAAGAGGGAGACCTGGCTTCAGTGAGGGTTAACCTAGATGTGAGGGGACCCTAGTACAGGTAAGAAGTCTGGCAGTAGAGGAGATTCTAAAATTAGAAACAGGAGCAATAGCTGTATGTGATCAGGATATTGCTTCTAATTTACAGCCAAAGCAGACAAGTAAGAAATGGCAGGTTTGACTAGAGGTTTAAAGGGCTGCAAGTTTGAGAGAGGAGCAAGGCTCTCTTCTCGGAAGGGACAGTGGCTGGTACAGGCGGCTGATAAGGACTTAAGTGTGGGTCAGGGACACTGTTAGAGAAAAGTAGGTTTGGAACACTGCGGAAAGGCAGCAGAGCAGGTGAGTGTTGGTTCACTGGGGGAAAAGTGGACAGCCTCAGAGGGAGCTTCAGTGCAGTGACAGCTAGGCAAAGATTTCTAACCTGAATGTGTACATGAGAAATCCTCCCAGGTGAAATCCTGTGTGAGGCTGGAAGGAAAAAATGAGTGGAAATAGAAGTTTTGTGTTTTGGTGGGAAGAACCCTAAGATGAACTTGGGAGAAGCAAGCTCCTCAAGGTATCTTCCCCCACAGGAAAGATGTGGGGGAAAGGGTTGTGTGACCAAATGATTCTGTAAACAGGCCCGGAACGAGGTGGGTTTTCTGTGTGCTTTGGTCCCGAACATGCTGTATGATGTTCATAGCAGCACAAGGCTTTGTGCTGCTCATGGTTTATAATTAGTTTCTATTTTACATTTTGTGTGACTGCCTCTGAAGGGATCTATAGTATTTCTAATATGTAGAACATTGAAAAATTTTCATCTTGATACATTTGCCTACCATGGGATTGAATGTCTAAGTCTTGGCAAATAAGAATACTAGCTTTATTTTTTAAATTTAAATTTAATCTTTGTTATATAAGAAAGAATTTAATTCTCTGAAATTAAAAGAAGGTGGAGGGACTGGCATAGTTGGCCCTACCCAGGCTTTTAGTTCTGACCCTTTGAAAATCCATTGAGCGTTTTCATTGCTGAGTATATTTGTTGGTTTCATGTGACACCGTTAAGAGAAAGCTACGGTTCACTATGCTATAAGGAGGAGAACTGAAGTAGTGAAAGCTTTATGAGAACATTCAGATAGAACTTAGGATTGTATCTTTCTGAGTGTTTAAGATATTTTTGTATAGAATTGACTGATGACTTGTAACTGCAACTCATAGAAACCTCCCCTAAATTCTCTTACAATAAGTAGAGTCTTTTCTCTGCTGCTGGTTGCTGTAGGGAACCAAACAATTGGTTTCAGGTGGAAAGAGGTAGCGGTCTGGTTGCTACTTTGCCATCTTATGTTTTTCAGCTGCCATAAGCAGAGTTTATCAGAAGAACTTTCTTCCTGTCTAAACACAAAGCCTGAAATACTGAGAATAAAACCAGACATCTGCAAAGCAGGGTTGCTGTCTTCGAAGTCTTCTCAGATTGGAACTGAAGACTTGAAAATCCTGAGTGAACCCAAAAGTGGTTGTACCCAGTTGAAGACAAACGGTGATCAGGAAAACAGATTGGAATCTGTCCCACATCCGTTGACAGGCCTTGCTAAGGAGGGCTTATCTACAAAGACTGCTAAGGCAGAACTGGACCTTGCCAGTACTCCCGAACTGCAAAAGCACCTGGAACTTGCACCCTCCACATCTAATGTTCTCTGCAGTAAGCCAGAAGTGAAAGTGGGTGCTAATAGTGCTCGCCCTAATGGCTGTCCAGAAAACAAGGTAGAATCTTCAACTTTAGGTTGCCGGCCACAGAATTTAAAGGAGACTTCAGCGAAAGTAGACAATGAAAGCTTTTGTACAAGAAGCAACAATAAAATCCAGAATGGTGAGTATTCTTAATTTTTTGAAGGTAAGAGGTGGCAGGTATGTTTTGTCCTAATAGTAGGAAGTTTGCATAAACTGTATTAATCAACTGGATCCATGCCAATTGTTTTTCTGTGTGAATTGGCATAAGCGTCTGTTAGCATCTTAAAGCTGCAAGGATTCTACTGTATGCATTTCCTTAAGGTGGGTGATTAGATGGCTTCCAGTTTTTGATGGTAAGGAAGTATTTTTGTGATATTGTAATGATATTAGAATAGTAGTAAGGTGATTGATTATCTTTAGACTGTTGCTGATCTTTCTGTAGCACGTAGGGAGAGGAGAAGATGTGACATGACATACACAAGTATCTTGAATGTGAAATTTTAAAATGCAGATGCAGAATTGTATCATCACTCGGGAAAGGGACTTGTGGGCGAGCACAGGTTTGGAAAGCCAGGCAGAGTCACCATTTGCCAAGAGCGTGGTCCTGAGCACCAACCATGCCAGATTCCTGGTATAGGGAAAGTGCTGCTGTATTTCATGCAACTTAGAGATGTCAGAACATACCTAATTGAGAAATCCGGTGTCTCAAGTGTTTCCAAATCTAAAACTCAGTGCCAACACGACATGCCAAATGGAAAATTTTATATCTCATCTCATGTAATGAGTTGCAGTCAAAATGTGGATGCACTAAAAATATTGAATCTGATTACTTTCAATTTATGCCTGTTAAGGGGTATGTGAAATGTTCTGAATTTTGTATTTAGATTTAAGACTTATCCCCAGGATATCTCGTTATGTATATGTAACAAAGAATCATTCAGAAATCTGCAGCACTTCTGTTGTTTTGGATAAGGGATACCCATCTTGTATGTATTGGGGTGTTTAAGGGTGCACCCAGTGATGGTAATTTCTAGAATTAGGAAAATGAAATAGCTGCAATATGTCAAAAGAGTGAGGGCTAAATAACCTTCAAGTCCTGTTCACTTGGATCGGTAAAAAAGGAACATAACTTCACTAGCTTTTTATTTTTACTCTTGGCCTCTGAAACTAGAGGTCGGGGTGGCTGGATTTGACTTGCAGACCTATTTAATATAGAGTTGGTGGAATAGAAAGCATATTTTCTTTGCCTAGGGACTCTGCTAACCCAGCTTCTTCATTCTTCAGGTCTTAGTAAAATAGCTATTAATTTACGTAAAATTAATTGCATAAGATTATAGTGTTCCTCACGAGTTATGTAACTCCCCAAAGAAAGTGAATATTCATAATGATGAATCTGTTCTATTTCTTTATTTTTGAGTCATCAGCCCTCACACTCAGCTAGATTTGAAGCAAATCATTTTAATTTATATGAAAAAGCGAGTTGGGCGAGTACATGACAGATGCACAAGTCCAGCTTTGTTTCCCTTGATCTGACGTGTGGCTGTTCCCTGTTTAACAGGACTTTAAAAGGAAGGGAAAGCCTAGTTGCGCATCCTGCCATCTGTAGTGACTGGCTGGGGACGGAGAGGGATTGCAAGCCGGTGGGGTCTCTGAGCTGCGCCTGCTCGTACTCCCTGTGGGTACCAAAAGCCTCAGCAGAGAGGGGCTCTGCTCCATGGCTGCGTTAGGGGCTATGAACAAAAGAGCTGGGGCAGCATAGCTAGCTACCTCTCCTGATTAGATAGAGCAGCAATGGCAAACCTTTTGAAGGTCAAGAGCCCAGACTGCAACCCAGAGCCGCCTCATTTATCACCTAATGCCAACCCTGCAATTAAACTGAATACTGAGGTTTTTCATTCAAAAAAAAACCTCAAACATAACATTTTTTTATCCTTAAAAAAGAACCCAAAATAACATGCATGCCATAGGTTTATGCCCACCCCCCCCGCCCCCCCCGAGATAGAGTTGTCTCATGAGAAGTTAGGCCTGCCCCTTTTTTCTCTTGGTTCTTCTTTGCTCTGAATCAAGGGTCACTGATGGGACTGGGACCAGTTGCTGCTCTTCTCAGGGAAGAGCTGGGTTTAGATAGTTCGGCCTGCTGATCTCTAGGTGCTTTCTCTTAAGCCAGGACATAGCAGGTTAGGTGACTTGTGCTTTGCTTATACTTGGTGGAATCATGATCCAACTCAAAAGGATGATTGATGTCTTATAATATCTGAGGAAAGTTCCATCTTTGAAGTAGTAATCTCCTTATTTTCTCTCCTTTCTTCTCTTACTGTTTACTGAGTGAAAATGTTTGAGAGATCAAAGACTAATAGCATCAGGTAACGTTGTTTTGGTATCGAGAATCAAACTCAGGACCTTGAGCTTGACGTGCAGGCACTTTTGGTGAGCTATGTTCCCAGCCCTTAGCTAGCATTTTACAATGTATTTTAGTCCTACTTTAAGAGGTTAGATTAGGGAGGGGAAGGGGACATAAAAAGAATTAAGATGTGTTACATGCGTGTGCCCACTAGCCACGGTGAGTGTTGGTTTAGTGTACTTTAGAAAAAATACACAGCCAGGGTGGTGGTGCATGCCTGTAATCCCAGCCCAGCACTCTGGATCACCCCTAGTTTGAGATCAGCCTGGGCTACATAGTGAGACTCTGTCTCAAAAAACTAGGAAGAAAGAGAAGAGAAAGAACATTTCAGGCCATTCTTTTCTGTGTATGGAAAGTGGCAGAACCAGTTGTTACAGATTTAGGCTTCTGAAGAGCTGCGCCTGTGTCTGCATGTGAGCTTCCATTAAGACTTTTCCGATTTGGGAAAGTCTACTTGGTATGTTTCTCTCAGCCAGGGCTGTGAAGGATTTGCTCTCCTGGAATTGTGAGCCTGACTGTTGAATTAGGACATTCTAGTTGCCAAATGGATTCACTAAATGAGAAATGCAGAGAAAACAAATCTTTCCAGTTCCAACTTTTTTTTCTGTTGAGCTGTGTTTTATAAATTACAACTAAAAGGGTCAGCCTGATAGCTCAGCAGTCTGAAGTGCCTGCTTAGGCAGATGCAGGGGCCTGGGATTCGATCCCTGGCCTGCGTTGCCGGCACCACCTCTGGGGCCTGCTGAGATGGGGATTGAGACTGCACATGGTGGCGTGCGCGCCTGTAATCCCAGTGCTTGGGAGGCTGAAAACAAGAGGATCGCTGCGAGTTGGGTCTGTGTAATGACCCTGTAGACCCTGTACTAAATACATTTAAAAAAAAAAAAGTTACAACTAAATCAAGAATGGATGGGAACATTGCTTTTTATTTAAGATTCATTCAAATACTGATGAGCCGGTCAGAAACTTGAGAGCTTCTGTTCGCTTTGTCTTTTGTTTTCGCAGCCCCAGCTCGGAAGTCAGTTTTAACAGACCCTGCGAAACTCAAGAAGCTGCAGCAGAGTGGCGAGGCCTTCGTGCAGGACGATTCCTGTGTGAACATCGTCGCCCAGCTGCCCAAGTGCCGCGAGTGCCGCTTGGACAGTCTGCGCAAGGACAAGGAGCAGCAGAAGGATTCCCCTGTGTTCTGTCGCTTCTTTCACTTCAGGAGGTGAGGTGTTTGCAAAGAGGTCAGATAACATACTTTTTTTTTCTATCAGCAATACATCTAAAAGGTAGAGATTGTATTTTTTTTAATCTCTGCATTTAGGAAACTAGGTCTTAGCTATGTATCATTTTCTTTTCATTGCCTTCCAGAAATAAATACAATAACGCAAAGAAACTTCAAAACACCAACTTTTATTTCAAAAATTAACATTGCAGAAAAATACTGAAGATTCTGAAAAACCACCATGAATAACTACCGTTAACTTTTCAGTGTGGCTTTTTTTGTTTGTTTTATTTCAATAAAAATTAACTATTCAGGGTTTTGGCTTTTTTTTTTTTTTTTTTTGGTGGTACCAGTGATCGAACTCAAGACCTTGTGCTTGCCAGGCACTTATTCCACTGAGCTAGCTCCCCAGCCCCAGTGTGTTTTTAGTGGTTGTATGATCATAAATGTATTCAAGCATATCCTGGTGAAGTCCTGCATATGCTGCGGTGAGTTGTACTTGCCCAGTGCATAGTAGGAACCTTGTGATCACGTTTTTTCTGAAAACATGTTCATGTTTCTATAAGAAGTCATCATAGCAATCTTTTGTTTGTGGTGCTGGGGCCTCAAACCTGGGGCCTTGTGTGTACACTGGGCAAATGGTCTCCCCCTGAGCTGCACCCCCAAGTCCTTGCAGTCAGTGCTTGACAATTCAGTTCTATTGGTAGCCTTTTCTCTTGCTGCTGTCAAGATTATTGCGTATTTTTGCACTAGAAATAATGCAGAATTGGTTGTCTCCTAGCGTACATCTGTTTACTTTGGAAGAATCCAGGCAGGTTGCGCCTATGTCCGTGCCTGTGCCCCACTGTTTGGGCTCAGGCATTCTTGCCTCTTTCCCTTTGCAAGCGGGGAAAAACATATTAAATTTAAAAAAAAAAAAAAAAAATATATATATATATATATATGTATGTATATATGTATATATGTGTATATATATACACATACACATATATATTATATATAATATATATATTATATATATCTTGAGGCCAGATGTGGTGGCACACATCTGTTATGCCTGCACTCTGGCTTGGGGCAGGAGGATCACTGGGAGTTTGATCCCAGCCTAAACAGCAGAGTAAAACCCTTTCTCCAAAAGTCCCACCCCCCAGTCGTTTTTTGGTGGGGGGTGATTTATAGACATTGTCATGTTTATGATGTTTTTAAAGTCACACTCACTTTGTTTAAACTTCTAGCCTGAGTGAAGAAAGGCCAACCTTGTTTTTTGAGCCATAAAAGACCAGTGTTTTTCTGGGTATAGGTCAACTCTATGTAAAGTATCTAAATATAGTCTACTTTCTCAAAACTCTGATTTTCAGGTTTAACTAGTTCTGTTCATGAGGCATAACTGTTGACTTTATTTTTTTTCCTCTCTTTTTAAGTTTTAAGTTTAAAAGATTTGTTTATGATCTGAATGGAATGCACAGGTCTTTTAGATCATTAATTATATCTGGGCTGATAACTTTCAGATTTAGACTCGTGAAGGTTTTTTTTTTTTTTGGTTGTTGTTTTTAGATACTCTTTGTCCCATTTATTCCTGAGAAAATAGCAAGAGCACATGATACAGTGTGTGGGTAGCATTTAGAGCTGTGATAGCCACAGATGTTCCCACATGCACATGTTACTACATATTCTGGATAATCCTCTGGTCCAGTAGTTGACAATAAATGTTAGCTCTGTTTTCCCTCCTGTCAGGAGATATTACACCATGTATGTACTTGTAGTTACAGATATTTTGGAGAAATGACCCAGTAGGTTGTGCCTTCTGTAGGTCTGCGTTCCTGTGTGGGCCTCATTTGCTGTCACTGGGGCTGTGCTCTGAAGGTGCAGTTCGTGAGAGACAGAGAGATGGGTTCAGTTGCAAAAGCATTTTAGGGAGGTGTTTAAACTTCTCCTTCCTTTTATCCTGCATAATTTTTTTAGATCTTTTCAAAAATACTCTTTTGGAACCATGTACAAATCACTGATTTTGTGACTTAGGTAGTTTTCCCTTTTTTTTTTTTTTTTTTTTTTGACTACTTGAAAAAAGTAAAAAGAAAAGAAAAGAAAGGAAAAAGTACTTTTGTTTAGTGTTGCCCATTGGAAGCCAGTCTAGTAAAAACTAGAACAGACTCCCTTCGTTGGCAAAAGAATATCATCATGTAACTTTGTCCTTGATGCTTAGAGTGCAGAGTTAGGCTGCCAGGAGCTTTGTCAAACTAGGTCTCCCACTAAATTCCTGAAGACGGAGAGGAGTTGGGCTCGGGCTTGGGAGAGCGAAGCTGTCTGCAGTTAATTGCCTCTCCCTTTGAAGAGGCTTTCAATCTTTTGTTTTAGTTTCATGAGCTATCAGTTAATAACTCGCTCTTTTCCTTTGAACTGTAAGAAGTACAGGTGCACGTGTTACCAAATTCTTCGTGTCTTTTCTGGCAGTTTATCTTACGCTCTTCTGGGCAGATATGTTTTCTAAAACATACTTTGCATCTCAAGGGTTTGGCTAGCCGCCAGGCCTAGTGAGGGCTGAGAATCCTGGCAGCGTGCTGTCCCAGCCACCCTCTCTGCCTTCCTGAGTCCTCCCTATGTGAATCCTTTAGCTTAGGTTGCCCAGTTTACCTTTTTCTTGTTTTTGTGTGGAACGCTATACCCTGAACATAGTTTCTCTTACTTAATGTCCCCTTTTCTTGCATGTCAAGCTCAATTATTGTCTTTACCATGAAGTCCTCTTCATATTAGGCAGCAGTTCTTCTCTGTTCCTGAAAGACTTAATGACTGTCATATGTCACATCTGCTTCACTATTTTTTACGCTAATTTCTTATGTCTGCAATTACAGAAATACTTGTATTTCAGAAAATTTAGGGCTGGAGATAGCTCAGTGGCATGAGTGCCTGCCTGGCAAGTGCAAGGTTCTGAGTTCAATCCCTGGTACCACACACATAAAAAGTTGATATCAGAAAATTTAAAACTAATACATAGTTATTAAAGAAATAAAACCAAAATGTTGTAGAATATTGAACATGAATACAGAACCATGTTCTGCTTTTTGTCTCACTTCTTTGGGTCTGAGGCCCACCTGAGTTCTTCCTCCCTTTCTGGGAGTCTGAAGCTTAAGATTTCCTGGGAGTGCTGAGAGAGCAGCGTGGCCATGGTTCCAGTGACTACCTCGAGATCTCTTCTCTTGCTGAGAATTACTCTCTTTTTTTTTTTAAATGTATTTAGGACAGGGTCTACAGGATCTCACTATGTAGATCGGACTCGTAGTGATTCTCCTGTTTTTAGCCTCCCAAGTGCTGGGGTTACAGGCGCGCGCCACCACACCCTGTCTCAGTCGCTGTCTCAGCACACCCCGGGGGCGGGCCTGACACAGCACAGCACGCCTGGGATGAATCCCGGCCGCTTGTGTTCACATCTGACCAGATTGTTCATCACTTCTGTTGGTTGGCAGCTTTCATCTGTGATAACTTGTGCTTGTTGATAACTTGTGCTCGTTCTTGCTATTAAGAGAAACCCATCAGCTTGAACATTTGTCTCTGGAGGCAAAATGATTATATCTTGGCTGAATGCAAAATATTCTCTCCTCCTCTTCCTTCTTCTGTAGCTTGTGTTTAGGAGAAAACATAAGTTATTTTATCCCCTCCACATCACCATTGCTTTTCCTCTTGCTTCCTGGGCTCTGAGCACTGCCCTCCTGTACACTATTGCACTGCACAGTAAGCACACAGCAGCCAGTTTGACAGCATCCGGCCTATGTGAGCTACTGCTGCAGTATGTTCACGTCTACGAATGTTAGTGATGTGAGGTACAGTCACGTCTGACAGTCCACAACCGGAACGTTCTTAAGTGAGGGAGTTGATGTGTTTGGCTGTGGAGATTACAGAAAACTATGAAAGATGTTTGTTGATTTAATCGTGTTTAAATATTAATTAGAAGATGTAAATTAACTGTGTGTGTTCCCCATTCCTCCTAGGTTGCAATTCAATAAACATGGTGTGCTGCGGGTAGAAGGCTTCTTAACACCAAACAAATATGACAGTGAAGCAATTGGCTTGTGGCTACCTTTGACCAAAAATGTTGTGGGGACTGATTTGGACACAGCAAAGTACATCTTGGCCAACATTGGAGACCACTTCTGTCAAATGGTGATTTCTGAAAAAGAAGCTATGTCAACTATTGAGCCACACAGTAAGAGCATCTCTTAGTGGGTAGGATGTTTGAGTCTGGCTTGATTTTTGTTTCTGAGTGACACCTAAATCCCTATTTGCATGTCTTTCATTTTCATCCACAAGTTCAGATTACTTTGGTATAATGAGGTTGCATTTTTCCTTTTGTGACAGGTTTCATCTGAGCTAGCCCTTTATCTCTAGGGTTTATTTTGGGACAGTTATCAAAGGAGTGGCTCTCCTTTTTGTTAGGAAAGGTCAAGGTGAATATTGGCCTCTCCAGCATATTGCAGCTTTGCCAGACAAGGGTGAGACTTCCAGCTGGTTGGTTCATTTAAGACAAATGTTCTTATAGGGAATACATTTCAAAGAAAATAAGGGCCTGGCTGCCCCTTCCACCACCGCAGTTGAGTCTGCTGGGCTGGGTCCCAGGCGTGAGAAAGGGCCCGAGCTCGGGTGGAGCCAGCTCTGTTAGGTGAGAATTTGAGAGCATGTGCCTGCGCTTGCACTGCTCTTGACAGCCTAGAAACCACAGACGATCGTGTGGGTGACATGGTAGAGCCAAGTCTCCTGTGTGACATTTCAACTCTGGAAGGTCAGCATGCCTCTCCCTGTGTCTGTAGAAAAGAGCTGCCCAGCCAGAAGCATCCATCATCGAGTGTCTCCAAGTGGTTCAAAACTCACAGCAAGGCCTTCCATTTCTCTGGTAACTTTGCATAACCAAGAATGCTTGAATACAAGCATCCTCACCGGTCTTAATGATTTTGGTATAGCTACAAAACACTGATAGCAGCTTAAATACAAAGGTCCTATTAGGCGTGGATTCTGTTGTTTCTCAAGAGCCAGGAACAGGAACCCGCAGCAGGAGCCCAAAGCGGGGGAGGGCGTGGGATCGTGACTGGTCCGGGTTGAGTCACGCTGAAGGGAAGAGCAGCTTTTATCTGGCTGTCGAGATTCACCAGTCAGGGCTCTCTCAGGTCCTCCCCCATCTGTTTAGGACACATGATACAAATTTTACATTTTCAATAGACAAAGTTTATTAAATACGTTTGGGCAAAAGTAGATTTAAAAACATTTCTTAGATAACCGTTCATGGTGGTACAAACATGCAGTCATGGCTGCACTTGGGAAGCACTTCTTTGAAACGCAGTTGCTTCCCTCTTGGGTCGGCATGGTTGGCTTACGTAGGTTTCTCTTCTCCTCCCCCTCCTTTGCTTGCTTGCTTTTCTTTCTCTTTCTCTTTCTCTTTCTCTTCCTCTTCCTCTTCCTCTTCCTCTTCCTCTTTCTTTTCTTTTCTTCTTTCAAGACAGGGTCTCACAATGCAGTTCAGACTGGAAGAGGCTGCTTGTAGCTTCCTGGATTGTGCCTCAGGCTGCTGGGTGTCTGTTGGTGTGAGTCGGCACTACCGGTGTCCAGCACACTTGGCACTGGCAAAATTTGAGTGCAGGAACTGACTTTGGAGTGCTGAGTTCTTAGATGGTCCGCTTCAGGCCCGCTCAGCACTGGAGTTTGGGCTCAAACTCTTGCAGTGATCCTCCTGCCTCACCCTCTGAAGTGTCGAGATTACAAGTGTGTGCCATCACATCCACTTCTTTGTTTCAGATTATTTTTTCTTCCAATACAAGAAAAGACATTAATAGTTGTGTTTTAAGACCATGATTAAGGATCTCTCCCCTCCTTAAAGATTTAAATATTACTGACCTTTCTTGTGTATGATTGTTCTAGTTCTCTTTCTTCTGTGACAATGTAGTTAGAATGGATAGAGAAGCTGCTGTCGAGAAGCTCAACTGAGTGGATTTGCATGCGCCCCGGCCCCGCCAGAGGGCTTCTCCGGGGCCTGCTGTTGGGAAGCGGACCTGTGCTGTTAGACTTTGCTTCTGTGCTGGCTTCAGCAGCACATAACCATAACTGGACTTTCACTCTGTTTTCTCAGTAGCAACGGTTAAGGGCGTAACTGAGGCATCTAAGACTGTTCTAATAAAGCAGTGATCCAGGTGGTCACAGTGAAATCCATAACGTCTCATCTGTAAACTGCCTCAAGCTGCTTTGTATTGTGTCTGGACTGTTCCATTACAGTGGAGGTCAGAAGTTCACTTAGCACTTGGAGTAATTCGCTGTGTACTGAAGTCCGGTCACTTGGGTTGTATTCAGTCATTCAGAAAGAATGAGCTCACCAGCGACAGAATTAGGACAAAGCCCTCTCCTTGGAACAAGAGTGCCGCACTGCTGATCCAGGGTTGTTCAGGAAGAGACTGTCAGGCGGAAGGGAGAGGCTTGTGGACAGCAGCGCTGGGCCGTCTCAGGCCACAGTGTCCCTTTTTGCTCCTACATCTTGAAGCTTGCTGTACCCAGTATGGTCGCTCAGTTGAGTACCCCTCCCTTGGGGGTGGGGGTGGGGGGCCCATGGCCTGCCCTGTTGGGGAGGAGCCTCTCCCCTCTGTGGCTGCTGGACTGGAAGAGGCTGCTTGTAGCTTCCTGGATTGTGGCTCAGGCTGCTGGGTGTCTGTTGGTGTGAGTTGGCACTACATGCATCCATCACACTTGGCACTGGCAAAATTTGAGTACAGGAACTGCCTTTGGAGTGCTGAGTTCTTAGATGGTCCGCTCCAGGCCCGCTCAGCACTGTGGTGTTTTCATTGGGTCAGGGACATCTTTGAATAACCTGGTGCTCTGTGCTGCTTATTGGATTTGTGTGTCTGAGGAAATGGCTTCTCCCTTGGAGGAAGCCTGACTCTTGCCACCTTCGGATTGTCAGTGGGGCTCAGAAGCAGGTGGGGCATATCTGCCTGGGGTCCGTGTGCTCTCCTGCTGTGTGACACAGCACACAGCTGAACAGGGTTCTGTTCGAGGGTGGGGTAGCCTCAGGAGGTGGGACTGTGATTGCCTGGATACAGCTGTTGCGACAAGAAACTGAAGGATAGCACTTTTGCTGGAATCCAGCGTGCATGATACGACTACACAGTTTCCTGGATCCTGGTTACAGGGAGGAATAATTGCCCCTCACAGTTGATGTCAGATCTCCCCTCCCCACAACTAAGTGATTTATTTCTTGCAGGACAGGTTGCTTGGAAGCGAGCTGTCAAAGGTGTTCGAGAAATGTGTGACGTGTGTGACACCACCATCTTCAACCTGCACTGGGTGTGCCCTCGGTGTGGGTTTGGGGTGTGTGTGGATTGCTACCGCATGAAGAGGAAGAGCTGCCAGCAGGGTGAGGACTGACTCGATTCCCTGCAGCTCCTGGCGTGCTGGAACGAAGCCAGGATTAGCTTGTGGTGGGTGGGCGGTGAGGCACAGCAGCGCACACCAAGAGCAGTCACCGCAACTCCGTCATTTACAGGGGCCACCTACAAGACTTTCTCTTGGCTAAGATGTGTGAAGAGTCAGATACATGAGCCAGAAAACCTAATGCCTACTCAGATCATTCCTGGCAAAGGTATTTCACGGGGTGCTGGGATTTTCATTCCCATCTCTCAGTTAACTTGTAGGGGCTGGTCTTTCAGTTTCACTGTCCGTAGTGTCGTTACTTGATAACCTTACTTTATATTGTGTTCTGTAAATTGCCCAGAAGTGCCCTGACACCTTCTAATTGAGGGCTTGAAGATAGTTTTGTAGAACAAAATCAAAGGTGGGATAAAAGGGCAGGGTGGAGAGCCATGCCAGTGAGGAGAGGTCCTGTACTCTGCCCTGTGATGTCGAGTTTCAGAGTACCTAACATCTTCGTTCAGATGTTTGCCTGTGCTTCTTTTCCAGCCCTCTATGATGTTGGAGACATTGTTCATTCAGTAAGAGTAAAATGGGGAATAAAGGCGAATTGTCCTTGTTCAAACAGGCAATTCAAACTCTTCTCAAAGCCATCTTCAAAGGAAGACCTAAAACAGGTATTGCTGCTTGTGCCATACTCGCCGTCCATGTGATTCTGTTTTTCAAATAACGCAAGGGTTTCTGTCGGTGTTTTTTAATTAAGTTTATTGGTACATTTTGGGTATACATAATGATCACATTCATCATTGGTAGTTTGTAGCTGTACAGGATATAACTTGATTTTTTTTCCTAATTCCCCTAACCTCCCTTCAACTCCTTATTTACATTTTTTTTTTTTCCTTTTCTCACTTTTTCTTTTCTCTTTCTTTTCCCCTCTCTTAAGTGTATTTTAAAGGAAAGTAGCAACAGCTGTCAGGGAAAGAATTCACTCATTGTAATGGTTCAAAAGCCTGTTCTCCCACATTTGCTGTTATGGGTCTTATTCATGTGTTTTTATTAGTAGATTTCATATTTTTTGTTTCTTTGAAAAATATAGTCTAATAAATTACTATCAAATTTGTATGTTTTTAAAATCTCACCTTTTGCACAATTAAAATTATTCTGATATGCTTTAAAAATGTTAAATTATTACATCTATTGTATCCATAAGCTGCATGAAGAGTTGGTGGAGATGGCTTGCCCATGCCCGCCCCTCACATGCCCTTTCCTGGCGGCAGCTCGCCCTCCTCTGCATCACAACCTTCAGTGGCCCCTTTTCCCTCATGCCAGTAATTGTGATCTTACATTGTGTTTAAGAATCAGAAATTCTTTTATATGGGGTATCAAAGATAGCAAAGGTGAACTTACATTTTCCTGCTGCTTCCTAGTTGTGCTCCTTGGGCTCAAACAGGGGGTTTCGGTATGCTGTGGCTTGCTTGTCAGTGACAGGGATCACCGTGCATGCAAGGTTTGGGCAGCATGGCAGTGCATCCTGGGAAGGCAAGGCCTGGGCCTCCACAGGACCTTCAGAGTCCTTTCTCCTTTTCATTTATGCACAAGCTGTCAGTCAAGTAGTGGAGTAAGTGAATGCTCTTTTTAGTTTGTCCTTTTCAGTGTGTGTTTGACATTTTTAGGAGCTTTGTGTCACATTTTAATGCTTAGCGGAGCATTTTTCCTTTCTTGGTATCCTCTTCTGAAATTCTAACTTTCATTTCCTACTAACCTTATTTATTTAGCAACCATGTTTTGAGGGCTTGTTCTGAATTCTGGCAAATTTTCCAAGGGAGACTGATGCAAGCTTGCCAGTTTAAAACCACGTAATACGTGGGGTGAGGGGGATGTATAAAAAGATGTACATAATGTGTACAAAGACTAGGTATGGAGGGGAAATACTTTATGAATATAAACTGTTATCTTATGTTTTCACTAGTAATACTTAGAACGTCAGGCTTCCAGCGCTGGTTCTGCAGCTGTGGTGCAGCTTTGCTCTGGAGACAAATCTCATGTTGGGGGATCTTGGCAGAGAAGGTATTTTTTAAAAATGCCATTCTTTAGCTAACACGGAATTCTCCTTTTGTACTTCACACAGACCTCCTTAGCAGGAGAGAGGCCAACGCTCAGTGCCATGCTCCAGCAGAGCCCCTCAGCATTGGAGCCAGCAGTGGGGGGAGGGGAAGCAGCCTTGAAGCCAGCAGCCTGCATGAAGCCTGCCTGTCCAGCCAGCACATCGCCTTTGAACTGGCTGGCCGACCTGACCAGTGGGAATGTCAATAAGGAAAACAAGGGTGAGTGGCGCCACCTTCCTGTTCTCAGCACGGCCCTCCTCCTGGAGGGATCCACAGCCTCTGTTGCCAGTGAGATTGGTGGTCAGAAGTCTTGCAACAAAAGTGGTCCGGGCCGTCATCCTGGGGCCTGCACGGATGGCACTGTATGTGCAGTGCAGTGCCAACAAGGAGGGCTGTTGCTGATAGATCTTGGATTTCTAGGCCAGGTTGAGATCGTGTTTGGCAAGAATGGAGCTGGGCTGAGACTTATGATAAGTAACTTTTTTTACCTGTCTGTCTTTACCCTGCACATAGTGCCTGTTTGGTCTGTGTCCAAAAATGTGGCCTTTGGTTTCATTCTTGTCATCTGTGCTATTGCCTTAGGTGCTAGGTGATAGGGTAAAGAGTGTGCTTTGGCATCAGGTAGAGTTGGATTAGAATTGTGATCTTGCTTTCTGCCTAATTTAGGAGATTGATTTCCTTCTTGCAAACATTTTGAAGTTTTAGTGGAATTACATAGCAGGACAAAATGGGTTTTTTCCAGAAAGGTATATGTACTTTAACATCTAAAACTTTGAAGGGCCAGCCAAATAGCTCAACAAATTAAAGTGACTGCAAGCAGTTGCAGGGGCAGAGGGTTCAATCCCTTGGCCTGCTGTCCTGGCCCTGCCCCTGGGGCTTGCTGAGATGGCGACTGATACTGGGTATGGTGGCATGCTCCTGACACTTGGGAGGCTGTAAACAGGCAGATCACTACAAGTCTGATCTAGTAGTGAGACCCTGAACACCCTGCAGACCCTTCCCTAAAATACAGGAAAAAAAAAGAGGTGAGGATACATATTGACACTTGTAGACAGTACATGTGAAAACCCAAAAGAGCCTATAGTGACAAGATAGGTTACTAGATACAAGGTAAATTTATCAGAAATCATTGGTGTTTTTGCGTAACAAATATAGAAAGTGAAAGCTTAAAAATTCCTTTTAGGGGTTGAGGACATACCTCATGATCTAAGTGCCTGCCTGGCAAGCGCAAGTACCCCTAGGTTTGCCATGCCAGCCCCAAAACCAGGTGTGGTGGTGAATGCCTGTAATCCTGGCACTGGGGAGTTTGAGATAGGAGGATTACTATAAGTTCAAGCCGTGTAGCGAGACCCTATACCAAGTGAATAAAGAAGTAAAAGACTGAAAGAAAAAAAAAAAGTGCAGAGGCACTCTGAAAGAAAAATTCCGTGTATCTGGATACTAGACTCTTACATAGTTCTTATAAATCCTTGTCTGAATATAGTAGTGTTTATATTAAAGGGGGGTTTTGGTCCTACAAAATGAATACTAGCTTGGAAAACTAGTATTTGCCTTTTAGAACGTTTTAAAATCTGTATATTTGGTTTTAGAGAAACAGCCAGTGATGCCAACTTTAAAGAATGAAGTCAGGTGCCTTCCACCTCTTCCCCCTCTGAACAAATCTAGCTCAGTGCTCCACACCTTCAACAGCACAATTCTGACACCTGTGAGCAACAACAACTCTGGTTTCCTCCGAAACCTGTTGAATTCTTCTACAGAGAAGGTATGCGCCTGTCCTGTTGTCTGCATCCCATTGTACGTAGCTGAATAGAACCAGGGCAGGGAGAGATAAGCGAAGTTGGGAGAGGAGAGGAGAACAGGAACCACACGCTGCACTTGGGGGCCGGCTCCCTGCACGTAGGCTTCTCAGGGCTATAGCCTGGGCTGGGCCACTTTCTCCTGCCACTTTTCCTCCTGCCTGGGTGCTTGGGGATCCTGGCTTGACTTCTGGGTATCGAATGGGGCCAAACCAATCCTGCCATTTTGGGAATGGATTATTTAATGGTAGGGAGCGGTGTGTTGAAGACTATTGTTGTTTCTCCATTTCAGACAGAAAATGGACTCAAGAATACACCAAAAATCCTTGATGACATCTTTGCTTCTTTGGTGCAAAATAAGCCGTCCTCTGATTTATCCAAGAGGCCTCAAGGACTGACCATCAAGCCCAGCATTCTGGGCTTTGACACTCCTCACTACTGGCTGTGTGATAATCGCTTGTTGTGCTTGCAAGATCCCAACAACAAGAGCAACTGGAATGTGTTCAGGGAGTGCTGGAAACAAGGGCAGGTAACGTGGGTCTCTGCTGCCCCGGCCCAGCCCAGACCCCTCTTGCTCGTTTACTTCGCAGACCTCTGCAAAGTACCCGCTTCCCTACCAGTGGCATTTCCTCTTACCTCCCAGTTTTGTATTCAGTTGTTTGGGGTAAATATAATCACACCAGGGCTTACTCAGTGCAGCTGGCTTCCCACACTGTCTGTCCCCATCAGGGTGAGTGTTTCCAGCAGCCATCATTGAGTTTTTGATGAGTGTCCTAGCTTTTGTGGTCTTGGGTAGTGAGGGGGGAGTGTAGTGAATGGTGGCCTGCTTCTGCCTTTTCCTCCTCCTCCCCTCGCCCCTCTGTCAGTTCTGTTTTCTGCATCTTTGGCTTTTTCTGGCTAAATAGTGTCCTTGCTAAAGGAACACTTTGCTCTTGGATAAGAATTTGGGGGAACTGCCAAAGAAGAAAATGTGAGTGTTTAAGAACAACAGCACAATTCTAAAAGCGATTTTTGGACCTGTGTACCAACAGGATTTACTCATTTATTCAAGCACAATCAGAGACTGCAAAATGGCAGGCTGAATACATAGTCCATCAACAGGTTTTGTTGGATTAATTATTAATTATTGTCATAGGTAATTTTTTTTATTTGAAAAGTATTAAATTTTTGTACTTAATTTTAAAATCAGCCGGGTATGGTAGCACACACCTGTTGTCCCAGCACTTAGGATGCTGAGGCAGGATGATCATTAGGAGTTGGAGGCCTGCTGGGCTACAAAGTGAACGCAAGGCCAGCCTGAACTGCATAGTGAGACCCTGTCTCAAAAAGACAAAAAATGTAAGTCAGGCTATTTAACACAAAGTTCAGGATTCTTTGTTTGTTTTAGAAAAACCAAGACTTGACACAGCCAAGTCTGTGTTCTCCTGGCAGTGCCAGACCAGAGGCCTGTGGCATTGCATGCTTTGAATAGTGAACATCTGGCCCTTGTTTCCTTCCTGTTCTGCTGGGTCTGGGGTTTTGGGTGCATGTTCTGAGCGCTGGGATCAGGTAGGAAGCACGAGCCTTGTGTTTATGAGCTTCCTACTCTGTCTACTTGGAGAACAGCACACATGGTAGGGGAACAGAGGAGTAGAGCTACTGTTGGAAGCTCAGGGAACTAAGCTGTCACTTCTCCAGCAGTGGCCAGCATCTCTCAGAGAGGAACAGCCTGTTGGCCTTGGGACAGAGCTGCCGGAATTCACACTGAAGTCTCCCCTCTTTCCTTTCAGCCAGTGATGGTGTCAGGAGTGCACCATAAATTGAACACTGAACTTTGGAAACCCGAGTCCTTTAGGAAAGAGTTTGGTGAGCAAGAAGTTGACCTGGTTAATTGTCGGACCAATGAAATCATCACAGGAGCCACTGTCGGAGACTTCTGGGATGGATTTGAAGATGTCCCGAGTATGTACTAAAGCTCTTTCCAGAGGATTGAGTAGTGAAAGGAGGACTAACAGGGGTCAGAAAATTTCAGACTTCAAGTTGGCTCCTTCCTGCCTTTGCCTTTGCCTTACAAAGTTTATGCTTTTGAACTGAATCATCCCCCAAAACTGGTACTGGTTCTGTGGCAGATAGTTCTGACGAAACCCTGTGTGTGCCATCCAAAAGCCAAGAGAGAGGGGAGATGTCCCCCATTGGTCCTTGTCCTTGTCCCTGGACAGAACATGAGGTGGTTGGAGTCTTGTCCTGAGCAAAACATTTCCATTTCATGCTGGCCTCACAAAACCGCGCTTACTCTCCGCTGTGGTCTCTGAAGGTGTGTTGCTGCTGGTGCCTGGAGCTGGCGCTGCTCAGTGCTCTTACGACACTGGGGGAGCAGCAGCCTGGCTCCGAGCGGCACAGCTACCACACATACATGGCCTCAGTGCACTGGGCATGAAGAGGCACTGAACTTTTCAGAGGGCGACAGCCCCATGCAGAGTAGTGATCTTTATCTGCTGCCTCCAGGCTCCAAATGGATTTCTTGGCATTGCAGAAATAAAGTGGCAGGTGGCAGGAGGGGGATAGTGAAGAAAAAAATTATCTGTGTACTACATGGACCACATTATGAATCCTTACATTGTTGAGGACTAGAAGGCTAATTTGTCATTTACTTTGATCTGTTATAAATAATCATTTATGCTGGTTACCTTTCAGATCGTCTAAAAAACGACAAAGAACCAATGGTGTTGAAACTTAAGGACTGGCCACCAGGAGAAGATTTTAGAGATATGATGCCTTCTAGGTACTGTCATAAAAAGGGGGGAACGTTTCTATCCTTGAATTGTTAGGATGAATTCTTTAACATACCGAAAAAACAGTTTTTAAGGAAATATGAAAGGTCCATGCTTTTGTGGGTGCTGATCTTCTCATTTGTGGTCTGCAATCTTCAGAATAGTGTAATTTATAATTTTATCTATTTTTATTTTCTGTATTTATGACAGTGTCTACAGGGTCTCACTATGTAGATCGGACTCGTAGGATCCGCCTGTGTTCAGCCTCCCAAGTGCTGGGATTACAGGCACACGCCACCATGCCCAGTCTCAATCGCTGAGCGTGCCCTGGGGGCAGGCCCGGCATGGCACATGGGGGATCAAACCCCTGCCACTGCGCTCTGCCTAAGTAGGTGCTTTAGTCTGCTGAGCTATCAGGCCAGCCCTATTTATTTTGGTACCGGGGCCAGAACTCAGGACCTTGGGCCAGCCAGTTAGGCTCTTAAGCTGCTGAGCTATCTCCCCGGCCCTGGAGTGGCGTAACTTAAATAACATGAGAAGTTCATGAACTTTAGACCCAGCTGTCCAGGACAGCACCACCTGCTTGCCGTGGATGCGCTCAGCCTACGTGCAGGCTCGCATAGGCGCCTGGCCGGGGTTCAGTGTTAACATTAAGTTACATTGGCAGGTCGGCTTCCCTGAGGTGTTCTTGAAGCCTTGAAAAGGAACCTAACAATTACTACATAGTCACTGGGCGTTAGCTGTTTTACCAGGAAGCTGGTGCTTAGATCTTTTGCTGAACAATTCCAGATCATGCGGACACATTTGGATGGCACAGCCGGGAAGGATCTTTGTTCATAACTAGTCCAGTTCTCTTCCTCCTCATTGATAGCGGACTGTCTTCATGGTCACAGATACACTTGTTTCTTACATTATAGAAGAAAACCAGTCGCACAATAAAAATTAGAAAACCTTACTTGGCAAATTCTGGCTCTCGTTCTAGATTTGATGACCTGATGGCCAACATCCCACTACCCGAGTACACCAGGCGAGATGGCAAGTTGAACCTGGCCTCTAAACTGCCAAACTACTTCGTCCGGCCAGATCTCGGTCCCAAGATGTATAATGCTTATGGTGAGGAGGAAGCGCCTCGGTAGTCACAGTGCGGGGAAAACGTGTTTTAGGGAAGGGAGCAATGGAAAAGAGCTAACGCTTCAAACAGCACCTGTCTTCGTTCCTTGGTCAGATGTTTATTTCCTTTCTGTAGCTGTAGGGACAGGGCATGTGAAATTTTGTACTTCTGTCTACACTGTTTTGTATTGCAGAAATTTCATGTTTATTTAGGTCAGTCTGCTAGTATTTTTTCAAGCTGTTTTAACAGCTGATACAATTAAATGCAGTGTTTTGTGCTCATGGGTAGAAAAGTTAGTACTGAAAGCACTCTTTGAGTTGGATTTTTATTTGGACTTGAAAGCTGTCCAACATGAAGATTGCTTGGGATAAAAATTGATTTTTGTGTTTACCATTTATCTTTGGCCATTACTTCAACCTCATCCGGTTTCAACATACGGTCTTTCATTACAAGACGATTAAAGTTGGCCATTTTGAGGGAATTATTTGCCAATTTACTGATGAATGAAATTCTACCTATTTAAATCTAAAGTGAATTTCATTTACCTCTTTAAAAATATTATTTGGTTGTCATTTTTCCAGTTCTCTTAGAAATTATTCGTTTGATTTTATTTCTTTGTCTCATAATCCTTCCATACCATCTCAGGCCAGAGGCAGCCCTCCTCAACAAAGGACAGTCTTTGGAGTCCCAGCCAGTCTCCCATTTCTGTCCTGGCTGAGTTAGCCCAGGGAACCCCACCAGTGGTGTAGCTGGAGAACATTCTAAGAAGGGGGTGCTTGTGTTTCAAAGCTTCCAACAGTCTAAGTGCCCCTGGTAGTTCTGCCGGTGCAGGGTGAGAAACAGTGCGGGAGAGGGCAGTGCAGATGGAAATCCTGCCGTTTCCTCCTGTGGGCTCTCCTGTGTGCGCGCGGCTCTGCTGCCCATTTCCCATCTGTGTTTCCTTTCCCTGTACCTTGGTGAGCCTGATCAGAGCTGCTGCACGGGGAGCCTCTGGGGCACAGTGGGGATGCGCTCTAAATGTTCGGTATGTGAAAGCGTATTTCCACTGATGTCCCCTAATGATTACCTAAGCTTTATATGTGTCGTGAAGTTTTGTAGGGTATCTGAGAAATTCTCAAAATTAAGTGCCTGCTTGGATTAAACAGCTTGGCAGCAGGTCATTTCCTCTGGGACGGTACCAGGTAGGTGGCAGTGTTACTCTGTAAAAGCTTTTACTTTGATGAAGTTGTACCCATCCAGAAGCAAGCAGCTAGAGGCTAGAAAAGAATACAGATGTGGAGTTCTACAGATTCCTTCTCGGAAACATTAAAGTCCATGGTGGTATTTGTCTCAAGATGTTTTTTGAGAATCCTTCCCTGTGACCATTATGCTCTTAAAGTCTCAGTTCCATTTGGGTTCATCATGCTCCTGGGGTTAGAGTCCTGTGCCATAAATGTGTATCCACTCAAGGCTGTGTCAGAGGCCTATGCCAAGTAGGGTCGTGTCCTTCCTTGTGCTGCACAGCTCGCTCTTTTACTCAGTGAGGTGTTGGTCAGAGCAGGAGGCAGCCCCCGAGGTGGCTTTGAGACCTGTTCTCGGCCCTTCGCGCTTCTTCCCAGCGGAGCACGGTCTCTTAGTCTGAACTCTCTTCCTGCTCTGCGTTCATCATTGCCTTGCAGGGGTTGTTGTACTGCATGTATACACCTTTCTGCATAATCTTTGCTTTTAAATCTGCTTTTAAGATTCTATAAGTAGAATTAACCTTTTTTGATATTCATTCATACTGTCATAAGTAAGTGTTTCATCCATTTTATTTCTAGTATGTTACTGGCTTATTTTCTTGCTAACTTTTCCCTGAGAAAAAATTTTCCCAGCACAGTGAAAACAGAGCCTAGTACAGCCCCTCACCATACACTCTTCACCTCGGGACGCTGCTTTTGCAGTTTATGGCTTCATTACTTCTTCCCTTGATATTTTTCCTTCAGATATTTTAAAGTGCATTTCATACATCCCATGCTTCCAGCCCAATACCTAATGCTTTCCCTACTCCTAGAGAGGCTATTTCAGCAGGTGAGAAAGAAAACAAAAATATGACAGGGCTCTAGACAGGTCTTGAGCTAGCTTGATGTGGCATGGCCTCCACAGGACAGCCCCCTCACAGCCGCAGGCCCTCACAAGCCAGAGAGAACAGAGGGCCTTTTTGGAGGCTGCAAGCTGGGTCCTGGGTCTGCTGACTGACCCCTTATGCCATACTTCTGTCTGCTGCCCAGTTTGAGCAGCCGAGTCCTGATGTCAGGTAGGCCGCCCAGGGTGATGGCAGGGGCTGGAGAGCTTCAGAGTAGTTGCCGAGCAAGGCGCAGCATCTTGGGGGAGGAATTGGAAGCGTGCACCACAGGCTAGAGGGGCCTCACAGGGCCCAGCTGGGCAGGCTCCTCCTTACACTGCAGGGGGCCTTGGGTGTCATCTCTTGCCTGCAGCGCCTCCTAGGTTGCCACGACTGAAGCTTGAGCTCACCTGGTTAAAGAAGCGTTCTTCAGGCAAATCGCTTTACCTCGTGCGCTTTGCTCTCTACTCCTTGCTTCCGAGTGTCCCTGCCAGCGCACTGACCTTGTTGTGGATACTTTCAATCAGTAATTTTATCCACGTTGTTTCCAGTGCTCTCAGAAGGAAGAGTCCTAAGAGGTCCTACTTTACTTATCAACAGCAGGTGCTGAATTGATTTATTTTTGTAATTCTATATTGAAAAGGGATTTTCTTTCAAAGTGGAAAGGATAAAAAATGTAGTTCTCTTATTTCTGCTGACTAAAGAGCAATTTTGTGATCAAGTATAAGACCTAAGCCTTTGTTGTCTTTAGTAGACTTAAGGGATTTTCTTTTTGCAGGATTAATTACTCCAGAAGATCGGAAGTATGGGACAACAAATCTTCACTTAGATGTGTCTGATGCAGCTAATGTCATGGTGTATGTGGGGATTCCCAAAGGACAGTGTGAGCAAGAGGAAGGTACGAAGTTGAGGGTAGAAGTGGGGCCTGCTGCCTAAGCTTGGCCTTGTGGTCTGACACCTGCTTGCTTGCTTTCTAGAAGTCCTTAGAACCATCCAAGATGGAGATTCTGATGAACTCACAATAAAGCGATTTATTGAAGGAAAGGAGAAGCCAGGAGCCCTCTGGCACATATATGCTGCTAAAGACACAGAGAAGATAAGAGAATTCCTTAAAAAGGTGTGCTTCTTACCCCATGGCTTTTGAGGAGGGACGCAAGAATAGCAGTTACTATAAGTGAGTGCATAGCACGAGCTGACTGGCATGTCAGATTGGCGAGGCCGCGGTGGTTGCTAAGGAACAAAGATTCTAAAAGATTGGGATTGCATCTCTGAAGAGGAGGGCATGTCTTTTATGTCTATTTTGTGTTACAGTCTATTTTGAAATCTTTATTCTCTCCCTTCAAATTAGGTTGTCTCCTAGCATATATTTGTTTTATTCCCTTGAATGTCTAAAGACTTCAGAAATTCCTCTTGTCACCCGTTGGTCCTAAACTGAGTTACTAGGGGCTGTACTCGTGTTGCTTGCCCTATTTGGTGAGAGAGGCCCTATTTGTATTCTTAGCAGGGGACTGTAAGCATGGGGGGAGTCTGGGTTTCCCCTGTAGTGTGCAGTTCCGCAAGGGCGCTGTGCAGAAGGTTGTTTGGCAGTTGTTCAGCACTAAGATTGCTTATTGCATCCCAGGTATTTTTGGTTCACATTCTTCAGTAATTTGGAAAATACAGATAGGAGCACTGCTTGCGCAGGGTCTGGCACCAGACAGGTCTTTAACGTTGCTGTTGTCTGGTCAGGGTTAGATTAGTGGCGCAAGCACAAGGACAAGGTCCCAAATTCAATCCTCAGTACCAAAAAACAAAACAAAACAAAAAAAGGCTGCTGTTTGCATTTTTGGCTAAGGGTTACATGACTGTTCCACAAGACTTGTTCACCATCTTGTTTTCTCAGTGTGGTTGCTCTGAATGTGCCTCACCAGACTGGGTTGAGAATACACAAGTTTATAATAATCTCTGGTATTGTTCTGTGACTCATTGTTAAGGGAATACTAGTCTTTAGTGAAACAACTTCATTTCTAAGGAACTTCTACCTACTTAGATTTAAAGGTAACAAAATTGTGCACCCTGCTGGTGATGGTTTATAAGAAATGAATAAGCAAGGAATCTGAGTTTTCCTTGTCATTCTTTGTTCACTCAACTGATGTTTTTGAGACTTTTTGTTTTTCTGCTTACAAGGATAAAGTCAGCCTGATATGGAAAACTGTTTGAGGTGAGGGGTGTCCTCACAAGGTCTTAGCGCGTTGCTCAGTTGCACAACCTTCTGAATGTTTTCTAGGTATCAGAAGAGCAGGGTCAAGAAAACCCAGCAGACCATGACCCGATTCACGATCAGAGCTGGTATTTAGACCGGTCACTGAGGAAGCGTCTTCATCAAGAGTATGGAGTTCAAGGCTGGGCTATTGTACAGTTTCTTGGGGATGTGGTGTTTATCCCGGCAGGCGCTCCGCACCAGGCAAGAACCGTCACTTTTCCTTCTTTCTCTTTCTGGTATGCACTTCCAAGTTTGTTAACTGATGTGGCTTGCTGTTTTTTTCAGGTTCATAATTTATACAGTTGTATCAAAGTGGCTGAAGACTTTGTGTCTCCAGAGCATGTCAAACACTGCTTCTGGCTTACTCAGGAATTCCGTTACCTGTCACAGACTCATACCAATCATGAGGATAAATTGCAGGTAAAAATGGCACCAAGTCTCAGCTTTGGCTTCCCTTGGCTATGTGGCAACAAAGTCAGTGGAATTGGCCATGGCACTCTGGACACTATTTTTAATTGTGTGGGACTACCGCCTAGAGAAAGATGGTAGGTAGGTAGTATACAGGTCGCAGGCGGAACTTCCTGACGTAGCTGCCGCAGACAGAGCCCTAAAACACAGCACTTGCCCTGTGCGGCAGTGTTCTTAGGGTAGAACTGAATCCTTGCCATCAAAAAAGGGCAGTATTTTTATTTATTTATTTATTTATTTATTTTTTGGATGGGTATTACCTTTATTTTACAAATGAAGAAACACTCAAACTGAGATTGTCAATCAGGTCTAGCGTATTTCAAAGCCTTTCCCCTGTCACATGATAGCTGCTATAACATTCTCATCCTGTATCTTTTTTTTTTTTTTTTTTAAAAACATGGTTCAATGAACTCACTTTATTTTTTGTGTGTGTGTGTCTTATACTCTTATTTATTGATCTGTATCTTTGATAGTTAACTTTATGAGGTCTTATGAGATAAATGAGTCTGGTGCTGACAAAAATAAATTGATGGAAATAAGGGAATATACTTGAATATGTACATGTACTAATTCCCTAAAATATACATAAAATTATTACATACTCCAAACATATACTAATAAAAAAGTGGGAGATACATCACTGGACCAAGGATTTTGAATTAATTACCATTTTTAAAAATAGGAAAAAGGGTAGTATTTTGAAAGACTCTAAATAGTGAATATATAATATTTCATTGTTGAAAAGTTAGAAAAATATAAAAACTGAAAGAAAAAAAAAGACCTTGAGAGACTCAGCTTCACCCTGCAGTCACTAGGGTCACATGGCCTCAAAACTTACAGCAGGAAGAAAATAAGCTTTTCAGCTCTCCAAAGGGGGCGTGCGTTTTAAGTGTATGTAGACTACTGCTTGAAAGGAGCCCTTTGTAATACTGGCAATTCATACAGAATATTGACTTACATTCTGAGAGAAAGTAATAAAATTGGGAGTAGTGAGGTATTTATTCTTTGTGACAGATTTTAGATTTAATGATAAAACCATCATCTTTTCTTTTAGGTGAAGAATGTTATCTACCATGCAGTGAAAGATGCAGTAGCTATGCTGAAAGCCAGTGAATCGAGTTTCAGCAAACCCTAACCCTGCACATTGGAAGTGAATCGTTGGCAGCTGTTCAAACTCTTCAGGCAGGATTCCTGTGGACTTTGAGATTTCATGTTACCTCATCTTCTTTTTTAAAATATACCCGACTTGTGAGGGTACTCTTGTCTAATGTATATTTCTAGTGTTTACAGACACTAAATGTGTATATGTAGTAACTATTTCCAGAAATGCATCCTTAAACTGTGACTTCTTACCTAGTGCAGATCTTTTACCAAGCTGTAAAAACAAAACCTTGGATCAGCTCTGGAACAATACCTGCAGTTATTCCCTAGCTGTTTGTTGGGACAGCTTAGTCAAATGAGTTTATAACTTAGGAATCACTGCGCAGTTGATTTGGGTTTTATTCTGTCTGTCCCAGTTCCCAGTCGTCCTAGTCATCCCAGCTGTTGTCCCCATCCCCACCCCCCACCTGCCCACTTGGGCACAAAAAAGCAATGGAGGAAGTGACAGCTAATGATGCAGTTCTCATTGGATTGCATAGAACCGGCACTATATAGCGGAGATCAACTACTGTACAATTCTTGGGGTTAACCATCTTTAGTTAAATGGAATTTTAATTTAAAAGAAGCTTTGCTAATTTTAAGTGTAAGCATTTTGCATTAAAATATTCATATAATATTTCATTTAGTTTATTGACATCCTCTGACTATGAATTTACATCTTTTAGTAAATGCAGGTATAAGAGATTGCTGCAAGCTCTTTTCAACAGCAAAGTAATTAAGTACTATAGTGATTTCTTAGTGATTATTACAATGCTGACATGGAAAAACTTTCCCAAGACTGGTAGAAACTGTTTTCAAAGAAAACTGATTGATTTAATTTACAAATTGGAATTAACAACAGAGTAGTGACTGGCTAGCTAGTCCTAAAATGGTAAGAGATTGAAATAATTTGTCTTCTGGTCCTTTGTATTACAGAAGAATTTACAAAGGAGAAGTGCAGCCACAGCTGTAATATGAGGCATTTTGAAATCAAGTGTGAGGCAGACCACAAGCAGGGTGCTGACCTCTGGCCAAGTGGGGGCAGTCAGGATCCCTATGTGCCACCACCCCTCTGGAAGCCCAACCTTTAAAACTGGGGAAAGTTGTCCAAGAAATGTCTTTAGAAGTTCCTTTATTCAGATTTGGATCAAGAATAGGAAAAGTAGGAGCCCCACAGATAATTAGATAAAAAGACTGTCCCTCATAATCTAATGTAACAAGAAAGACAAAAAGTTGCCAGCCAGGGGTGATGGTGCAAGCCTATAATCCCAGCATTCACGATGAGTTTGAAGTCAATCTAGATTACAACAGGGTAAAACCTTGGTTCAGGAAACAGCAACAGACCAAAAGGACACAATAAGCAAGAGTCAGTCCGATCTTCCATTAGTCCTATGTACAAAATTTACAGATTGTGGAGTGATCCAGTACATACTCTGAAATGTTTAAATGAGTAAAGATTATGTCTGAGGCAGTACCAGACATGACCAGGCTTGGGGGGTGGGGGGAAACCTAGAACTTTGAATGAAAAGGTGATGGTTGGTTAGAAATTCAACACACAAGATAAACAGAAAAATCCTTTGTGAACTAGGTGATTGGAAGAAATGGATGAAACAGCACTGAAGAATAGGACACAAAGGGGCTAACTTAGAAGGAGGAGACAGAAAACACACACATTTAATCAGAACAGCTAAAAGACTTGGGGTGGGAGAGTTTTTCAGTACCATGATGTCATCAGACTGAGGTAGCCCAACTAAAGGATGCACTGACCACTCCACAGCTGCATGGTATTATAATGTCAAAACAGTTCTCACTAAATGGTCCAACTTGCTGATGGATGAAAGTGATAGCCACTCCGTGAACACTACTTGGGATTTGGAGTTTAGGTCTGTCCCAGGCAGGCAGTGTGTGGCATGAGCCTGTCTTTCGGTGCTGAGTGGCAGCAGCCAGCCACGGCCAGAGCCAGCCCCCAAGTCCTGAGGGAGGTACTGCCTGCCGCTCCATGGTGTACCGAGTGGCTGAGCTGGGATGTCTGCTTTAAGTGAGGCACTTGGAACACCTCAGAACCCATCCTGAGGTGAAGAGCATCTGTAGGGTCTTAAAAGCTGCCAGGGTGCACTTGGAGGCCCGCCACAGGGCCGGGGGTGGCACACATGATCTTCAAATAAGTAACAGAGTGGACAATCACAAAAGCAAAGTGAAGCGTGGAAGCCGATGGCATCCTCATATGGTGGTGAAAGCAAAAGTCCACAGCTGGCAAATTAATTTCCCTGTTTATATCTTCCAACCTTAACTGAAGCAACATCTAAGCATAACCTGAGGAAGGAAATTATTCCACAACATGCAAGAAAAAAGGTAGAAAAGGAAAATTTTTAACTCTTACGACAAATTTAAACAAAAGTAGTATAAAAGTAAATATTTTAAGACTGCTTGGGGGCCGGGGAGATAGCTCAGTACAATAAGTGCTTGCCTGGCAAGCACAAGGGCCTGAGTTCAATCTCCAGTTCCACCAAAAACAAAACAAAACAAAACAAAAAAAAAACACTAGCTTTTCCTCTCATGAGCCGAGCAGGTTACTGCATAACCCAGCAGTTCCACGTCATATCCAAGAGAGTGGAGAGCTGCTTCAGTGCTTGCATCTGGTGTTCACGGCAGCTTTATTCACAGTGGCCACCAACAGAAGGGGGCAGGGTAAGCACTAGGCATGGTCTATGCGTGTGTGTCATGGAGTATTATTCAGCCTTACAAAGGAAATTCTGACAAATGCTACAACATGAACAAATCGAACACCTCATAGCAAGTCAGATATAAAAGAAGAAATGGTGCCTACTTTCATGTAAGGAGGTACCTAGAATAATCCAGTAATTAAGACTAGCGGAGTGATAGGAATGGGAATTAGCATCTGGGGTAGCTTATTTTTAATGATGAAAAAATTCTTAAAATGGGTAAGATGGATGCAAACCACTGTCAAGGTACTGAATTGTTCCCATAAAGTCAGAAAAATGGTAAGTTTGGAGTATATTTTGCTACAATAAAAAATCTATATAGGGAGAGCTTTTGAAATTGAATGAGAAAAGTGCCGATTTAAACTTAACAGGCACCGGGCTGGAGAGATGGCTCAGTGGTCTAAAGCACCTACTTGGAACAAGCTTGGCAAAGCACGGGGACTGCGGTTCAATCCCCAGCACCACATGCCAGCCAGACCCGCCCCCTGGTGGGCTGAGCTGGCCACACACACAATGAATAAATAAATAAATAAAAATTTAAAAAAAATAAAAAAATAAACTTAACAGGCACCAAAGAAGGCACTTCAGACAGGACAGCTTGTAAATACTCCCGTTAGAAGCAACGGCGTTGGGCTGGATTAATGAGTACAGGACCTAGATGTGTGCTGTTTATAAGGAAAAGACTTAGCTTACATTAAAAGTAAAAACTTAGAAAAACATACTGAAGGCAATGAATGGTTATAGTAATATAAAGTAGATTTTAAGATAAAGACTAACCAGAGTTCTCTCAAGCAGTAAGCTGCAAAATAATGAGAAGTAAAATCTGATAGGGAAAAAGAAATTGATAGACATAGAGCCAATACAAATATAAAATATTGAACACAGACAGCACTAAAGCTAATAACCAGAATCTACATTCTCACATGTGGGTTATTCACCCAGAAAACATACTGGCCCCAAACAGAGACCTGAATTTACAAAGTATATAAATTTGTATTCTGAGGATAACAGGACCTATACAAACATTCCCAGATGTTGAAACATTTAGTAACATTATTATATCTATCAAGAAATGAGAAGGGGGGGAAGAAAGGAAATGGTTACTTGGAAGAGAATAATAAAACATCAAATGTGGGATTCAGCTTACAACAGGTACTTGGGAACTTAAAGATTTAAATTATTTGTAAGAAAAGGATTAAATTTGTGCTTCCAAACACAATCCAACAGAGGCACAGGAAAAGAAAATATGATAGTAATCAATGACAACAGAAGAATACTAAAGATAGCTGAAACTTCTTTGAAAAGGTTAAAGGTTAAGTCTTTGATAAGGCTAAGAAAAAAGTGACTTTAGAGTCTCTGAACAGTCAACTAAGGAGAAATACTGTGAAGTCTTGCCAGTATAGTTGATACCTTGAAGAAATTCAAAACAACTTAATGAAAGTAGCAAAAGAAAATGCTATACATAGTTCTAGATTTGTTAAAGAAGTTGAATCCATAATTAAAAATCTGCCAGAACCCCATTTTCACTGATGAAGTGCTTCTGTCAAACAGAAAAGCAGGAATTAGTACCAGTATTACACTTTTTTCCAGGCATAGAAAGAGGAAACATTTCCCAACGTTTTTGGAGGTTATCAACCTTAACGCCATAACCTGAATCTACTAGGCTATTTCAAAGAAATTACAGACTGATCACCTTTGTTAATACAAAAATCCTCAACAAAATATTAAGATTACAGACACAGTGAAACGACAGTGTGACCATGGGGGCTTTGTCCCAGGTACAGACCACTTTCACTTTTGAAAATTCAATAGAAACTTTAGAAATAGCTGTTCATAATAAATTCTCAGTAAACTAGATGTGACAGCATCTATGAAAAACCGCTTAAAACAGTATATAAAAATAGAATTTCCAAATGCTAGTGATAAAATACCACTTAAAATACCAAAAACTGTCATGTTCTTAGAAACACACTTAGTGAAAGATAAGCATGACTTCTACATTGAAAACTGCAAGACTGTATACAATTCCTGCTGGAAACACTTAGATGTCATTCTCCCAGGTTGGGTACACAGGTGAGAAGCCACACTTCTTTTCTGCATGCTGTGATTGAGCCACTGATTTCTAGGTTATCTTAAGGAGTAACAGTGCCTCCTTTCAGACCAAAACTGACCACTTAAAAAGACCTGGATTCCCCAAGTTCAAGAGCCATCTCTTGCTGCAAAACTGCAGATAACAGCCACTGCAGTGAAGAATAAGCTGTCTTCATGGCTGCCCCAGGAGTCACAAACACTCCCAAGATCCATAAAAATGTGGCAGGCTACCTTATCACCTTTAAGTGGGGTACATTGCTTGTGGACTGATATGAGGAATTGTTTAGAGGAACTACATCCCATAGCCCTAAAAAGTGCTTAGTAAAAACAAATTAGTTAACACGGGGTGGGGGAGGGGGGGAGATAGCTCAGAGGACTAAAGCGCCTGCTTAGGCAGGCTGCAGGGACCTGGGTTCAATCCCCAGTGTGCCTTGCTGGCCCCATGCCCCTGGCACTCTCAGATCGTGATTGAGACTGGGTGTGTTGACCTATGCTTGTAATCCCAGCGCTTGGGGAGGCTGAGAGCAGAAGGATCACTACGAATCGGATCTTTGTAGTGAGGCCCTATAGACCCTGTACTTAAATAAAAAGACGAGTGGAGGGCACTAAATGTTTTAAATAAAGGTAGAAAAAGTAGGGCTGGGGAGATAGCTCAGGGGCAAAAGTGCCAGCCTGGCAAATGTAAGGTCCTGAGTTCAATCCTACTGGTATCAAAAAAAAAAAAAAAAAAAAAAAAAAGTAATCCCATGATACAGAAAAAGCAGTTACTATAATAAAAGCAGAATTTAATAAGTGTGATGAACAAAATCAAAGGCTAACTTGTATGAGGCCATTTTCTTTCTCTTTTTTTTCAGAACTGGGGATTGACTCAGGCCCTTGCATTTGTCAGGCAAGCACTTTATCTGAGCTATCTCCTCAGCCCCTATTTTCTATTATTACAATAAATATCTTATGGCAGGTACTTCATAAATAGGTTAATTTAGCGTACAGTTTGGAGGCAACCAGCCCAAATGGGGCAGCCCTGGCCACTTGGTGTGGTGAGGGCTTCATGGCAGATGGTATCAAAAATGTACTTTGCATGAGGGAAAATCATGGAAATCCAGACAGAGTCCCAGAGTCAGGCAGTCTGCAGGACAACTGGCCCTCAAGGAAACTCAAACTGAAAGGCCAGCATGGGCCCTCCCGTGGCCAGGGCCCCTGTGATCTAATTACCTTGCACCAGGGCCCACCTCTTAGGATTCTGGTGCCCTCCAAGTCCCTTCTTCAGGGGACCTAGTTTCTATCACATAAGTGTCATAAGGGACAAGCTATCCAAACCATCACACTGCCTTGAAAAAAATTAAGACAAGCAAACTTCTGGCAAGACTTACAAAGAAAAAGAAAAATGAAAAATATTAAGAATGAAATACAGGTATAAATATAGGTCTTTAATATAATAAGTGAATGAATCTCTAAGACTTAATTTTTTAATGGATGACTACTGAAAAATATAAAAACTGATAATCTGAACAAATACTACTAAAGGAATTAAATAGTCAAAAATCTTGGCAGTATTCCTAGTCCCCAAAAGGTACAAGGCAATTTTACAAGTGATTTTATACAACACTTAGTAAATAATCTTTTATGAAAAAGCCAAGAGAATAGAAAAAAGGAAACAGATGCTTTTAATAATGCTAGCTTACT